GGCAGGGTCTCCAAGAAGTGGGGTCCTTGTTTGGGCAGCAGAATCACCCACTCCTCCCAGCAGGTCTTTGCAGGTATAGGAGCCAGGGCGGCTTCTTGTGTTGAGTCCAGCTCTCCCAGAAAGGGATCCTTGTTCTTCTGGGAGGGGCTGGGGCAGTCCAGCCAGGCAGAAAGGCATGCAACCCTCACATCTCTTCTCCTTCCACTTCTCTGCCTGCTCCTTGCTGATCCATTCTCTGGCTAATTCGCAGTGATTCTCAAACCTTCATGCACGGAACCTGGTAAAAAGGCAGCTTCTTAGGTCCCAGCCCAGACCCACTGAATCGAAACTTCGGGGGATGGGACTTGAACTAGGGTGGTTTTCCTGGGACTGGCAGGTTTCCAGGACATGGAACTTTCAGTGCTGAAACTGAGAATGTCCTGGGGAAACTGGGGCAAGTTGGTCACCTGATGACCCGCGGGTCCCCATCTCCCTTAGGCTGCTGAGTGACTCTCCTGGGTTGATGGTCCCCAAAACACACAAATCAGCGATGCTTCAAATGTTGAAGTTCCTTTAGGCTCTATGCTTCACTCTCTTTTCCTTCCCTAGACTTGCACTGGTAGGCCCATAATCACTCATGGTTATCTGCATCAAAGTTAATGAAGTGTTAGCTGCTCAGTCATGTCTCTTTGTGACTCCATGGATGGTGGCCACCAGGCTCCTCGGTCCATGGAATTCTCCAGGCAAGAATACTGGAGTGGGTTGCCATTCCCTTCTCCAGAGGATCTTCCCGACCCAGGGATTGAACCCAGGTCTCCTGCATTGCAGGCATATTCTTTACCATCTGAATAAAATTAAAAATTCAGTTCCTATTTACAGAGTTGTACTAGCCACATATTAAGCACTCGCTAGATACATGTGGTCAGTGGTTGCTGTATTTGACGGTGTAAAATAGAATTATTCCATCATCATAAAAAGTTCTACAGGCACACCTCAATTTATATTGTGTTTTGTTTTGTTTTGTTTTTTTACAAATTGAAGGTTTGTGACCATGCAGTACCAAACAAGTCTATTGGTGTTGTTTTTCCAACAGCATTTGCTGACTTTGTATCCCTGTGTCACATTTTGGTAATTCTCGCATATTTTACACTTTTTCACTGTTATTTTGTTATGGTGATCTGTGAACGGTGATCGTTGATGTTACTATTGCCAAAAGATTGACTCGTTGGAGGCTCAGATAACAGTTTCCATTTTTAGCAATTAAAGATTTTTAAATTAAAGTATATCCATTGTTTTTTAAAGATGTAATACTGTTGCATACTTAATAGACCACAATATATATAAGCATAAATTTTATATGCACTGGAAAACAAAAAAATTCACGTGGCTCACTTTATTGTGATATTCACTTGGTTGCAGTGGTCTGGGACTGAACTCAGAAAGTGTTAGTTGCCGGAGCCTGCCGGCAAACGAACTGGTCGAGAACGCAATTACCAGAGTACCTGAGAAAAATAAGACTTAGACAGACTTAGAAAGACTTAGACAGACTTAGAAAAATGGGGTTGAGAGGGACAGAGTCAGTTTGCGTCTGACTCTGCCAACTTTATTGAAGAATACCACACCTATATATATGCTAACAGGAGTTGCTAATAGATCAAAGGTTTGCATATGTGCAGAGCTACAGGCACAGATGTTTTAAATTCCTCCACTTAAGATCAGTAAAGCATCACCCTAGCGCCCAACATGATTAAGATCAATAGAACATTAACTAGATAGAAAACAGGCTTCAATCATGACGAGTTTATCAGCAACAGGTGAAAGATCGCTACAGCAATTTCCTTGAGGGAGGTGAGAAAGGCCAACCTGTGCTTTAATAAATCAGGGGTGGCGGGACAGAGAGGGACCTCTTGATCTCTCTCAGAGCCAAGAAGGAGCCTGAGCAGTCAGGCTGGCTCCCCGCAGTTAGTCCTCAGTCGGGTCCGACTCTTCCCAACCCCGTGGACTGTAGACCCCAGGCTCCTCTGTCCATGGGATTCCCCAGGCATGAATACTGGAGTGGGTTGCTATTCCCTTTTCCAGGGCTACCTCCGTGCTAAATTCTTTGGATAGATTTTTGCCATGTCAAGGTGATGTCCTTCATAGGATGACAATTCATGTTCATTTTCTAGTCTTTGACACTTTCTTATGTGCTTAACAAGCTAAAAATCTTACATTCTTTTGGCATTCCTAAAATACAACTACTGTTCCTGGGGAGTTAAGCAAATCTCTTAAAATTTAGTAAATTCCTTGTTGAAAACTTGAAAAAAGACAAGATATTTTGTTATGTTTTGTTATTTTTCCCCCATCTCTTCGTAACAAACCAAACCTTATTTTCTGAGGGCTCCAATGTGTGGTCTGGAATATGCCTGAGGCAAAGGCAGAAACAGTTTCTAAAACAATTTAGTTCTGGGGGAAGACTCTCATGGGGTGCGAGTTTTGGGATGTTTAGTTATGTTTAGTTTCGGGATGAATTAGTTAAACGGGTGATTGAAGGATTTTCCCTCACATGCTTTAAAGAGATTGATTTCCTTGGTTTTATTTCCTTGTTCTGCACTTTCCCTGCAGATAAAGGATTCTAAGGTATTTGTTTACGGTGGCTTCAATGATGACGGCCAAAATGATCGTTAAGCTAACATGACCAGCCCAGAAGAACAACAAGGCACTTGTGAGGAAATGAAGCCTACATCCCCGCTGATACGTGGATGTGTTTGAGCGTGTGGCCTCATGCCTGGGCAAGCACTCTCAGACAAGTGGTGGTCTTTGTTCTCTGTGTGGGAATTGACTTTCCAAGATCAGGTGCCTGAAAGGAAACGAAGCTTCTAGAACTGCGATTATGAGGATTTGGCTCAAATGAGATGCCTGGGAATGAGCAATGTCTTCTTTTTAAACTCCTTTTCCTTCCCTTTCAGAAATTCTTAGAATTACAACTGGTATTTCGAACGTGTGTGGAGGGGAAGGGGAGAGTATGTAATTATATTATTGTGTAATGTCCGTTGTTTCCCTAAATATTGCCATTTGCATTCCACCTTCATACTTGTTACCCACCTTTTGTACTCTGAATGTTATTATTTATCTTTTTTTAACCTAATAGATTTATTTTAAAAGGAAACATGTCATTATTGTAAATGGAAAATTTGTTTCACTTTCTTATACATATAGGTGACTATATAGTCATATTTATTTTATAAACATTATTATATTTATTTACCTTTATAAGTATTTATAGACATATATGAAAAAAGTGAAAAATGTTAGTTGCTCAGTCATGTCCAACCCCGTGGACTGTAGCCGCCAGGCTTCTCTGTCCATGAAATTCTCTAGGCAAGAGTACCAGAGGGGGAAGTCATTCCCTTCTCCAGCGAATCTTTCTTAGCCAGGGATCGAACCCGGGTCTCCTGCATTACAAGCAGATTCTTTACTGTCTGAGCCACCAGGTTAGCCCATAGACGTACATACACACAGGGAAAACCAAACCATATCATTAAATTCTAGCTAGATTGTGGAAGAAGCATCTCAAAGGCTACATTCTGTATGATTTCATTTATATGACATTTTGAAAAATGCGAAAGTGTTGGGATGGAGAACAGACCCTTCTTGGGCTAAGGATGGGAGGGTGATTTCAGGGAATGGCAGAGGTCACCTGTTGCAAAGAGCTGACTCACTGGAAAAGACCCTGAAGCTGGGAAAGACTGAGGGCAAGAGGAAAACGGGGGCAACAGAGGATGAGATGGTTGGATGGCATCGCTGACTAGTGGACATGAGTTTGAGCAAACTCTGGGAGATAGTGAAGGACAGGGAAGCCTGGTGTGCTATAGTTTGTGGGGTCGCAAAGAGTCGGACATGACTTAGTGTGAACAACAAGAAAATGAGGGCATGAAGAGTCCCCCCGCCAAAATGAGTGGAGACTGAGCAAGCATGTGCCCCTGCTGCCTGATTCCGAGGAGGCAGGTGGCAGTATGTCTCAGAAGTATTGATACATCCCTTTTACTTCCTAATCATACAAAATGTCCACTTCTTTCTCTTTAATGAAAAGATCTCAGCTCTGTTTCCCTTTCCTTTTTTCCTGGAAGTTTTTCTTTATATCATGAACTTAGAGAGCTGTAGAAGCCTTTGTTTAGATCTCCTACGTTAATCTCAGTTTAACTCAGCCATTCTCAAAGGCAGGAGTAAGGAGGAGTGGGGGAACAGCTGATTTATTTCCCAGTGGACTTTGAAATGCCTGACAAGTTACCACCGACTGGTTGGCTTACCAGAAAGGTATTATCTCACAGTTCTGCAGGCTGGAAGTCTGAAATCAAGGTGTTGCGAGGGTAATTGTCCCTCCAGCGCTTATAGTGGAAGGATCCTTGCTTGCCTCTTCCAACTTCTAGTAATCCTTGGCCTGAGGCAGGAGAACGCCAATCTTCATGGCATCTTCCCAGTGTCTCTTCACACACTCCTCCCTGCGTGCATGGCTGTGTCCAAAGTTCCCCTGCTAACAAGGACAACAGTCATACTGGATGTTAATGACCTCATCCTAGCTTGATTACCTGTTGGAAGATCCTATGTCCTAATAAGGTCACAAGCTATACCAGAGGTTAAGTACTTCCATATATCTTTTACTGGGGACATAATTCAACCCCTAACAGTGGTCAACGTATAAACAATATGAAGTGGAAAATCATCAACCAAATTCAGAATCATGCTGGCTTCTGGACAGAGAAAGGGGAGGGCAGATAGTGGTGGAAAACTGGGTTGAGGGGAAGCTTGAGAGTTTCCATTTTACCAGTCATGTTTTATTTCCTTGAGAAAATAAGGACGAATCTGGAATTAACATGAAAAAGATTAGTATTTGGTAGTATTTATTCTTTTGTTCTCTGTACTTGATTGTTGTCCATTTTTTAAGTCATGAGAGGAAAGAAACTAAGAAGGCATTGAACTAGCATGACCCTCCTTCATAGGTACCGGTAAGGGGTGTGGTGTGACACCATCTCTTGTAGAAGTCAAAGTCCTCTGTCATCTGATTTTCAGGATGTATGGCCTGCAATCAGCAGCTGGGAATTTTCAGACTTCAGACTCACGTTAAGGATTATAACATTCTGGAAATCATCCCCGATCTAGCTTCTATCAACAGCCAGTGGGAGAGAAAACACACATCCATCCAACTCTGAAGTTCCAACAGCATCTGCAGGCCACGTCAGTTTGTGTGAAGTTTGCATTCGTTTGGGACAAAGAGAGAAAAACGAGGATAGAGATGTAAGTCTTTAAGGTTAATCTATTCAATTAAATGGGCTATTCTTCCTTTTTAGATTGGGAATTTTTCCTTTTAAAAAAATGTCTATAAAATGTTTTATGAAATAACAGTGACAGTAGGTCATGGTAGCTGTTGTTGCTTTTAATGTCTTTAGTTAGCAAAATAAAATGTAGCACCCCCCCCCAAAAAAAAAAAGAAAAACCTGAAAAATTCGGTTGGTCTAAATCAAAATGATGGTGGCTCTTTGGAACTAATTGAAAATTTCTACAGACTCACTTTGACTACTTTGACTGTGGATCTTAAATTTGTATGTATTGTACACCATGTATAAGCATGTCGGTTTCATTTAGGTTGAAAGGTTGTCTTGTGTTGAAAAAACAAAATTCTTCCCCTTAGAAGATAAGACATACAGCTGAAATTGGAGTTTGTGGCCTCATTTTGGCTCTTAGGGGTGATGTCCTGCCTTTGGTGGTGGTCAGGTTAGCTTTTACAGGCTCTGGCTTCTCTTCCCTTGTCTTTCAGGTAATAATTGGCCCTGATTAGCAAAATTAACCTTTGTGCAGTTTATGACTGCCTCGTGATTCTAGCGTGGGGTTGGGCAGGAGACAGGAAAAGGAGATTAGAAAGAAGAGCCATACAAAGCTGGCCGTCTCCTGCTGGAACATGGAGATCTAGATAGAGCATTCTGTTTTAGCTGCACGCTATTCCATTGTGCAGCTGTGCTGTCACTGATTCAATCCATCCCTTGTTGATGGGTTTTTGGATTGTTTCCATTTTTTCTGAGTACACGTAAAGCTTGGCCTTAGTGACGCCATGTCACTGTTTTGTGAGCTCATTGGTGACCGCAGAACAAAGGTCGTGGGTGGCTTGCTTTGGCTTATGTTGGTTTAAGTCTGGGAAACCTAAGAGGCAGTAGAGATCCAGATAAATAGCCTATCTGTGACCTTATCAAGACTCTGGGAGGTAATTTATCCCTTGAACATTATTGGACTAGCTAAATGTAAGGTTGTTATGATCACCCATTTAAACCAGGAGACTTGAAAGATCAAATAAGAAGCCTACAATTAACAGATTCAAAAGACATATAATTGTGTGTGAATGTGACTGAAAAACAATGAAACAGTGAAGTAGGAAACCCTAAATGGATGTCGAAAGGAGGACTCAGAATAGATGATTCAATGGCCCTTATTGGGAAGATATTAGAGCAACAAAATTTACAGGCAAAAATATATATAATATACTCTATGAAATCTAAAATCCATATTTTATAATAACTATAAATGCAGTATAACTTTTAAAAATTGTTAATCACTATATTGTACACCTGTAACTTACACTATATTGTACATCAGCTATATTTCAATAAAAAGGAAAATATATATGTGTTTGAGCTTCTTCCAAGGCACAAAAAGAAATTTTTCCTTGGAAAGGACAGGATATTTGTACCTCTAATAGCTAGTAGGAAACTATGAGTAAATTTCTCAGAAGACCACTCCCACTTAATTTCCCTGTCAGCTCAAGATATTTCCTTGTAGCTATTTCCTCCTCTCTCTTTTCTGTCAGTCATTTTCTCTGGGCTTATCTTTTTCCTTACTTAGGAATTTGTCCAGCTAGGTGGTAGTGGCTAGAGCACATTTGTGCCTGGTCTATGAAAAAGATAAGTGCGCTATACAAACTCCTGTCACATGAAGTCAGTAGAACAGAGAATTGTACCAGCAGATTAAAACTCATTATTGGCTGATCACATATAGTATCTATCTATCCATATTTGTGTTATATGAATATATTCATGAACTTATATATTCATAAATATCTTCATGAATACATATATTAAATGTGTGTGTTGTATGAATAGGTATGTTCATACAATAAACACAGAGATAAACAGGTAAATAACTAGATGATTGATAGATAAGTAGACAGATGTTATATGTGATCAGCCAACAGTTCATTCATTCATGAATATACTCACAAATATATATGTTCATGTAATACACAAAGGTATATTTGTCAAAAATTCTGAACGATCTTGTATTGTCAGGCTAGGCTAGACTCTGCTGCATTAAGAAACAAACTCAAAATCTCAATGGCTTAACTCCTGAAAGTTTATTAGTTTTTTTCTTGTTCATGAAATGCTATTATGAGTTATTGGGGGTGGGTTGTGCTCCATTTAGTCATGGATCTATGGGCAGAGAATGGGTCTCCATCTGAAATGTCACTGGTTGCCATGGCAGGGGAAAGGTACTAGAAGGTTGTGGTTTTGACTCTTAAATTCTTTTGCTTGGAAGTAATACATGCTCACAGCCCACTGGCCAAAAATAGCCCAATGCCACTGCCTATATGGAAGGGGGTTCTCATCTCACAATGGCCTGCAGGGACTCCAGAGCTCCCCCAACATGCCCCACCCCCAGCCCCAACAGCTCGTCTTGGAGTTGGTGGAGGGTCTGAGCTCTTTGCTGGTGACCCTGAGCTGTATTATGTGGTCATCTGACCCTTTTATAAGGTCCTCATGACACATGTTTTTCAGAAATTCATCCTGGGGAAGAAGCATGGACTTCTTGAAAAACTGATATACTTCCTATTTTTCAGAAGAAATGAGTATCACATAAATTGTATGATTCTCTTTCAGTCTGGACTAAGAAGAAGCTCACAGCAAAATTTAGTTCTCATTTACAGTTACTGTGTCAACTGAGGAATTTGGTAGAATTTCTTTTCCTTCTATTTTATTATAAAGGATTTCTATCTTTTAAAATTATGTCCTAGTTGAGTGCCTGATTTTTAAAAAATTGATGTATAAGTTGCTTTACAACGTTGTACTGGTTTCTATATATGAATTCACATACCACACACTCACATCAGTTCAATTCAGTTCAGTTCACTCACTCAGTCGTGTCCAACTCTTTGCAACCCCACGGATTGTAGCATGCCAGGCCTTCCTGTCCACCACCAACTCCCGGGATTTACTCAAACTCGTGTCCATTGAGTCAGTGATGCCATCCAACCATCTCATCCTCTGTCAGCCCCTTCTCCTCCTGCCCTCAATTTTTCCCAGCATCAGGGTCTTTTCAAATGAGTCAGTTCTTTGCATCAGGTGGCTAAAGTATTGGAGTTTCAGCTTCAGCATCAGTCCTTCCAATGAATATTCAGTACTGATTTCCTTTAGGATGGACTGGTTGTATCTCCTTACAGTCCAAGGGATTCTCAAGAGTCTTCTTCAACACCACAGTTCAAAAGCATCAATTCTTCGGCACTCAGCTTTCTTTATAGTCCAACTCTCACATCCATACATGACTACTGGAAAAACTATAGCCTTGACTAGATGTACCTTTGCTGGTAAAGTAATGTCTCTGCTTTTTAATACGCTGTCTAGGTTGGTCACACACACACACACGCATGCGCGCGCACACACACACACATATATTCTTTTTCAGATTCTTTTCAACTATATGTATCCTATACATATAGTGAATAAAGTGGAGTTGCTCAGTCGTGTCTGACTCTTTGCGACCCTGTGGACTGTAGCCCACCAGGCTCCTCCGTCCAAGGGATGTTCCAGGCAAGAGTACTGGAGTGGGTCGCCATTCTGTTCTCCAGAGGGTCTCCCTGGGTCCAGGGATCAAACTCGGGTCTCCCGCATTGAAGGCAGACTCTTACCGTCTGAGCCGCCGGGGAATCCCATGTAGCTTATTATGAGATATTAACATAGGGTCCCTGTGCTATACAGTAAGACCTTGTCATTTATCTATTTTATACATAGTAGTTTGTGTCTGCTAATCCCAACTCCTAGTTTATCCTTCCCCCATACCTTTCCCCTTTGGTAACCATAAATTTCTCTGTATCTGTGCGTCTATGTATAGACTGTGTATATCTGAGAGTCTGTTCCTGTTTTGCAAATAAGTTCATTTGTATCATTTTATTTTTAGATTCCACATGTAAGTGACATCACATTTGTCTTTCTCTGTTTGACTTACTTCACTTAGTATGATAATCTCTAGGTCCATCCATGTTGCTGCAAATGGAATTCCTGACTTTTGTTGTTCACCAAGCCTTCTTTCTTGTGAAAGCTGCCAGGGTTTTCATTACACATAAATAAAAATTGTGGTAAATAATATCTTCTCTTCAGTGAATGTTTCCTTGATGCCAGTTCTTTATGTGCCCCATGTTGTTCACTCCTTCCAACTCTATGAGGCATTATTAGTCAGTATTGGATAGATGAGCAAACAGGATCAAAGAGATTAAGTGATTTGCCCAAGTCCACACAGCTAGCAGATGGAAACTAAACGCGATGCCAAGGGCTTGATTCCTAACCATTTCATTGCACAGCATTACATAGACAAATCTCTTATGATTATGTAGTAGAAGTGACAAACAGACTCAAGTGGTTAGATCTGATAGAGTGCCTGAAGAACTGTGGTCGGAAGTTCGTGACATTGTACAGGAGGCAGTGATCAAGACCATCCCCAAGAAAAAGAAATGCAAGAAGGCAAAATGCTTGAGCAGGCCTTACAAATAGCTAAGAAAAGAAGAGAAGCAAAAGGCAAAGGAGAAAAGGAGAGATATACCCATTTGAAAGCAGAATTCCAAAGAATAGCAAGGAGAGATAAGAAAGCCTTCCTCAGTGATCAATGCAAAGAAATAGAGGAAAACAATAGAATAGGAAGGACTAGAGATCTCTTTAAGAAAATTAGAGATACCAAGGGAAGATTTCATGCAAAGATGGGCTCAAAAAAGTACAAAAATAGTTTGGATCTGACACAAGCAGAAGATATTAAGAAGAGGCGGCAAGAATACACAGAAGAACTGTACAAAAAAGATCTTCATGACCCAGATAACCACGATGGTGTGACCATTCACCTAGAACCAGACATCCTGAAATGTGAAGTCAAGTGGGCCTTAGGAAGCATCACTAATAACAAAGCTAGTGGAGGTGATGGAATTCCAGTTGAGCAATTTCAAATCCTGAAAGATGATGCTGTGAAAGTGCTGCACTCAATATGTCAGCAAATTTGGAAAACTCAGAGGTGGCCACAGGACTGGAAAAGGTCAGTTTCCACTCCAATCCCAAAGAAAGGCAATGCCAAATAATGTTCAGACTACCACACAACTGCACTCATCTCACACGCTAGCAAAGTAATGCTCAAAATACTTCAAGCAAGGCTTCAACGGTACATAAACTAAGAACTTCTAGATATTTCTAAAGCTGAATTTAGAAAAGGCAGAAGAGCCAGAGATCAAATTACCAACCTCCATTGGATCATAGAAAAAGTAAGAGAGTTCCAGAAAAACATCTACTTCTGCTTTATTGACTATGTCAAAGCCTTTAACTGTGTGGATTACAACAGACTGTGGAAAACTCTTCAAGAGATGGGAATACCAGACCACCTGACCTGCCTCCTGAGAAATCTATATGCAGGTCAAGAAGCAATTGTTAGACCTGGACATGAAACANAATCCTAAAGGAAATCAACCCTGAATATTCATTGGAAGGACTGATGCTGAAGCTGAAGCTCCAATACTTTGGCCACCTGATGCAAAGAACTGACTCATTTGAAAAGACCCTGATGCTGGGAAAAACTGAAGGCGGGAGGAGAAGGGGATGACAGAGGATGAGTTGTTTGGATGGCATCACCGACCTGATGGACATGAGTCTGAGCAAGCTCCCGCTGATGGGCAGGGATGCCTAGCTTGTTGCAGTTCATGGGGTTGTGAAGAGTCAGACACTACTAAGCGACTGAGCTGAACTGACATCAACAGATGATTCAATTCAGAAAATGTGTCCAGTTCTCACATAGTTTTTGCTTTAATCCACTCAGATGTTCTGTGATGCATATATGAGAAAACTGGCAATGTTTGTGAGCTACAGCCATTCATTTATTTTCAACTAGTGTAATTAGAAGGAATTAGAAGGGGAAGTAGGTTTCACATTATGGTTTCTGGTTTAGATCTTTCTCATTTCCTTTTTCTTTTTTAAGAGTGAGAGGTTGTATATTTATAGAGAAGTACACAGTTCTTACTACAGTCCATGACACAACCGAGCAACTGAGCATGCATGCACCCACACAGTTCTTACGTGTACTTGATGTGCACACACATGCCACTGTGTAACCACCACCCAGATCAAGAGGAGAACATTCCTAGAATCCCAGAGGCTTGCTCGCTCATATTGTTTCCCATCTCCTCCCTTCCCCAAGGTAATCGCTATTCTGACTTCTAGCCCCATTATTTAGTTTACCTGTTCTTGAACTTTATACAGTCTGTAGTCTTTTGTATCTGAATTTCAATCATCATTGCCTCTGTGAGATGAATCCATGTCACTGCATGTCACAGAAGTTCAGTCTTTGTCACTGCTGTGTAGTATCTCATTGTATGAATATGCCACAATTTATTTACTTATTCTACTGTTAGCTTGTTTCCAATTTCTGGCACTTGTGTAAGAAAAGCATCTATGAGCACTCTCATTGCCTTTTGGTAGACATATTTTTTTCTTGTAGGCTGGTATTGTAACAGGTTTTATTTTCTTAGATTTAGTCGGCATCATTTAGTTTGTTAGATGTAATAGTAATAGCTAAGGTTTTAGTAGGCCATGGAAATCCTAAACCTTAAATAAATACATATTAATTTCTAGCCTTACAATATAAGTAAATGAATGAGTTCATTTTCCATGTTATGAAAAATAAGTTGCCACAAAGCCCAGCATTTAGTCTTTTTAGCACTCAGTTTGTGTGGATGTTTCTGTTTGTAAAACTCAGCATATTAGTTGACATTCTCTTTCATTTGTGTATGACAAAAGCCCAACTCAAACCGTTGTAAGTCAAAAGGGGAATGTAATGACTCAAGTATCCAGTGGCTGGCTGCCTTCAGGCATGGCTGGATTCAGGTGCTTAAACAATGTCGTAGCATTTGATCCTTCTTTCTGTTTATGTCTTGGTTCTGTTCTCTTTGCTGTTGGCACTACTCTCAGGCAGGCCTCCTTCCCTGGTGACCTCTGACAGCTTCAGGCTTATAACTTCCTAAGTCCCAAGTCCAACCAAAAGAGAGAGCTTCTCTTTTTCAACATTTCTGATAAAACTCCCAGAATTGAGTCTCACTGGCTCTGACTCAATCACTGTGGCCAGGAAGCAAATAATTCTGATTGGGTCACACATTTACACCTGGCTGACTTGAACTGAGAGGAAAAATGTTACTACAAAAGAGAGAACTGGATGCTAGACAGGGATACAAATAATGAAAAACTTTCTGCTATGCTGAAAAGGTTGTAGATGACAGTGGCAAAGGTTAATTCTTTATCTCTGATTACTCAACAAAAAGTCTAACCCTTTTCATTTTTATATAGAGGTAAATCTGTAAACATTGGCTGAATTTTAAAAGTGGTCTACTTGCTTCTTTCAAAAGCATCACCATTTATCCAATCATGCTGGCTCAAATTGTGGAGCTTATTTCTGACTTTTCTTTTCCTTAGCTCTCACCCTTCCTGTATCAGGTCAGTCCACAAATTCTATTAATTCTTTGTTTAAATTTTCTCCCCTCCTTGTATTCTTCTCTGTTCTGACTGACACTACACCAGAAGTTCCAGGCTTATAGCCTATCCCCGCAGCAACCTAGTGAAATAAGAGCATACCTTTCCCAGTTAGTCCCGTTAAGGTCCTGGAAGACTGACCTGGGTTACGTGCCCATTCCTGAACCAAACCCTGTGGCAAGGGGTATGGTGGACACTGATTGGCCAGAGTTGGTCATGTGACTGTCCTTGGAGTCAAGAATGCAATTAGCCTTTCCTTAGACCATGAGTGTGGCGGGGGCAGGTGCTCAGAGGAAAATCAGGGCCTTGATGCCAAAAGAAGGAGAAACAGGTTAAAGGCAAGTAAAAGCAATAGATGGCTCACTTAGAAATTAAGACCCCATCACTTTTGATTTGAAAGTATATTGTATCTATAGATGGAAGTTTATAGGACTCAAAAAACCACATTTTCAAACTGGAAGGGGTGGTGGTGTTTGTCTCCTTACCCAAGCCCTCTGTGCTGTGCCGGGCTTAGTCACTCAGGCATGTCCGACTGTTTTTGACCCCATGGACTGCAGGCTCCTTTGTCCATGGGGATTCTCCAGGAAGAAATACTGGAGTGGGTTGCCATGCCCTTCTCCAGGGGATCCTCCCAACCCAGGGATTGAACACAGGTCTCCTGCATTACAGGCAGACTTTACTGACTGAGCAACCAGGGGAGCTCCATTGTGCATGCATAGTAATTTATGCCTTGAACTCAAAACAAGTACAGTCCAAGTGCTTAAAAAGTCCTTGTTTACTCCAGTCTTTTGGTTCATTGCTTCCTCCCCCATAACCAGGAGAAGATATTTGTCAGCATATAAGTTTGGTTAAATGTATCAGACCCAGAAACAGTGGTTTATACAAGATGATGGTTTCTTTCTTTCTTTACATAAAAGCCCAGGCTGATATTGGGCACTGATCTGTGAAATCATCAACAAGCCAGGCTGTTGCGCTGCCCTCCCGGGGTGGGTGCTGCCTGTGTGTACATGGCCCAGGTGTTGTTGTTCAGTTGCTAAGTCACGTCCAACTGTTTGTGACCCCATGGACTGCAGCATGCCAGGCTCCCCTGTCCTCCGCTATCTTACAGAATTTGCTCAAAATCATGTCCATTGAGACAGTGATGCCATCCAACCATCTCATCCTCTGCTGCCCTCTTCTCCTTTCACCTTCACTCTTTCCCAACGTCAGGGCCTTTTCCAATGACTCATTTCTTCACATCAGGTGGCCAAATTATTGGAGCTTCAGCTTCATCATCAGTCCTTCCAGTGAATATTCAGGGTTGATTTCCTTTAGGATTGACTGACTTGACCTCCTTGCAGTCCAAGGGATTCTTGAGTCTTTTCCAACACCACAATTTGAAAGCACCAATTCTTTGGCACTCAGGCTTCACGACCATACATGACTAAAAACCACTGTGGCTTTTTACTGGGGAAAAAACCACAGCTTTGACTAGACGGACCTTTGTCGGCAAAGTGACATCTCTGCTTTTTAATGCACTGTCTAGGTTTGTCGTAGCTTTCCTTCCACGGAGCAAGTGTCTTTTGATTTCATGGCTGCAGTCACCATCCACAGGTGGCCCAGATGGCACCCCATCATTTCCACACTCCAGTCCACGGAAGTGGGAAGACCGAGAAAGGGAGGAATACCCCTTCTCTTTAACAGCACAGCCTAGAAGTACTATATGCCGCTTCTGCCCACATCTCATTGCCCACTCTCAAGGCTGCACGTACAGGCACAGGAGGCTGGGAGATATAGTCTCTGTTTTGGACAGTTGTGTACCTAACTAGGAAGGGAAAAAGAACCGATACTGCAAGGTAACCATCAATTATTGCAGGGAAGAAAGGGAAAAAAATCTGACGTTTTCTTCCTTTTGTTTTTCAGATAAAGAAAGAGATTGCTGAATAACTGCAGATGCATTTTAATGCTCCAGAGTAAACATGTCTGCCTACAGGAATAGCGCTTATGAGGAAGACCCAGATTACCCTGACTATTCTGAGTCTCGAAACCATACTCAGGGGTATTTGAAAACTCCAGGTCCTCTGAACAACTCAGATGACCCCAGCACCAGGAGCAACCCATACCCAGCAGAGTCCAGAACAAGTCTAGACTATCTTGAGTCTCTAGCAGAACCAGATTATCCTGGATCTCGGAGTAATCCAGACTACCCTGGCACCAGGAGCCATCCATACTCTGCAGGGACAGACTATCCCAAACCTTTGGCAGAACCAGAGTATATTGGATCTCAGAGGAATCCATACCAGCCAGGCTCATCTGGAGAGCCAGACTACTCTCAGTTTCAACAAAATCCTGACTTTCCTGGTTCCAAAGGCAGGGGAAACTACACAGGCTCCAGAATAAATCCAGATTATCTTGACTCCTTGGGAGAACCAGACTACCCTGGAGCTCAGGAAAACTTGAATTCTTCTGGCCCCAGAGCCACTTCAAACCATCCAGGCTACAGAAGGAATCCGGAACAAGCTAGTCCCAGAGTCAAGGCATACATAGACTCTCTGGGAGAACCTGATTATCCAGGTGCTGAGAGTCAATCTAACCATCCACACGTTTTTGGAGAACCAGACTATCCGGGTGCTGAGGACTATCGGAACTCTACAGACTTTTGGGGAGAGCCTGATTACCCAGGTGCTGAGAATGGTCGTGATTATGGCTCTTCAGAGGACCCGGAAATGGCCAGGCAGTAAGTGCTGGAATCTCCCTCCAGTGGGGATGGGAGATGAAGGTTAGATCATGAAGTCAATTAGTGTTTAACTTAATTGGGATGAGGACACATATGATGATTTCCATGACCTGGATTTATAGTGAAACTTTCATACCTACCTGTATACCTCACCTGGGCCTTGGATTCTCAGCCTAAGGCTTCATGCTCTTAACTGATCATAATCTTTCATCACTTCTTGCTTGTATAACATCTTTCCCAGTCTCTTATCTCTTCCTGCCTAGTCCCTGTAAGACATTTAGATCGCACTGTTTTGACCCTGCTACTTTGCCAATGAGATTAAGGTTAAGATGATAATTATGAACCCAAACCTTTTAACCAGAACTATGTCAACAGGAATGCACTTTAATCAAGAAAATCTTTTTAAAATCTAACACCGTGGAGTCCATTTAACTCAATTATTTTTATACAAGGTGATTGAGCCACTTCTGACTTTTTCCACTTTCACCTTTATTTTGCTGAAATTATCGCCAGAATTGACAATTTTTCATGTTTAGAGCAGATTTGACTCATTGATCTTCTCCATTGTTGTTGTTTTCATCAAGTTTTATTGACTATAGTTTTTGCCATTGTTAGGATTCCTCTAAGGAGGTTTTTTTAAGTCTAATTTTTCCTGATTCAGATTCTGTAGATCTAAATTTTGTCAAAAAGATTTTAATCTTCCATCAGTTTCAGTCATTGAAAAATTTTATTAGGTACAGTTTGGGTCACTGACAGTGTTAACCTTGGGTGACTGTTCTACCAAATCTAATTTTTCCTGTGTTTTAAGTTTCTCAACGTTCATGTTGCCAACAGCATGTGATTATTTATTTATTTTTCAGGCTATTTTTAACCTGTAACAAATTTACTATGTGAAATTCTAACCAATGTGAGTTTTATTTTGTATGTGCTATTTTTAGTAGTAATATCTATGAATTCAGCATAAATCCTTCTGGGTAGGCTTCAACAGCATTTGAACCGAGAGCTTCCAAATGTACAAGCTGGATTTAGAAAAGGCAGAGGAACCAGAGATCAAATTGCCAACATCCATTGAATCATAGAATAAGCAAGGGAATTCCAGAAAAACATCTACTTCTGCTTCATTGACTATGCTAAAGCCTTTGACTGTGTGGATGACAGCACACTCTGGAAAATTCTTAAAGAGATGGGAATAACAGACCACCTGACCTGCCTCCTGAGAAATCTGTATNTCTAGTCAAAGCTATGGTTTTTTCCAGTAGTCATGTATGGATGTGAGAGTTGGACCATGAAGAAGGATGAGTGCCAAAGAATTGATGCTTTTGAACTGTAGTGTTGGAGAAGACTCGTGAGAGTCCCTTGGACTGCAGAGAGATCTAACCAGTCAATCCTAAAGAAAATCAATTCTAAATATTCATTGGAAGGACTGATGCTGAAGCTGAAGCTGAAGCTCTAATACTTTGACCACCTAATGTGAAGAGCCGACTCATTGGAAAAGACCCTTATGCTGGGATAGATTGAGGACAGGAGGGGAAGAGGTGACAGAGGATGAGATGATTGGATGGCATCACTGTCTCAATGGACATGAATTTGAGCAAACTCTGGGAGATAATAAAAGATAGGAAAGCCTGGCATGCTGTAGTCCATAGGGTTGCAAACAGTTGGACATGACTTAGTGACTGAACAACAAGAAACAAAAATATGGGATTTGGGTGTGTAGTGAGATCCAATGTCTTCAGAACCTAAATCGGAGGATTAAAAGGACCAGGTCAAAATGTCCTCCTTGGTCTTGTCCCCCACTGCCTGATTCATCATTGAAATATACCTTTGACCTGTCACTCCCTTGTTTATTATCTTCCATGGTTCTCCATAACCTTTGGGAGAAAGACTCCACCACTTCATTTATGATACCTTAAGAATGAGGATGTGCTGGGCTAATGTAAGATGCCAGCCGAAGCCCAGCCTGACTGACCTCCTCCCACTTCTGCGATCCCCTCCCTGTTGTCTTTGTTTAGTTGCTAAGTCATGTCTGACTCTTTTGTGACCCCCATGGACTCTAGCCTGCCAGGCTTCTCTGTCCATGGGAATTCCTACGCAAGAATACTAGAGTGGGTTGCCATTTCTTGTCCAGGAAATCTCCCCAACCCAGGGATCGAACCCACATCTCCTGCATTGGTAGGTGGGTTCTTTACCACTGAGCCACCTGGGAAGCCCATCTTCTTCCTACCTAAACCCAACACTCTAGGTCAGTGGTTCTTAACCTTGGCTGATGCTTATAATTACCTAATTACCCGGGGGGGCCTTAAAAATCATACAAATACATGGGCCCAACTTTCAGAGTTTCTATTTAGTTGTTTGAGGTGAGGCCTGGGAATTGATATATGCATAAAATTGAGAATCATTGCTCCAGCTTAATTGACTTTCATAGCATTCCTTTTATATATTCAGCATTTTCTGGTCCCACGGGTTTACTTGTGCTGTTCTTCATCTTTGGATGCTCTCCTCCTAACTCTTAATGTATGGATTTATCCTTCCAATCCCAGGTCAGATGTCTCTTTTCCATGTAGATTTCCCTTCAAATTCCCAGCCCAAATTTTCTCTTTCCCGTGAACTCATTGGATCTGTCTTCTTATATTCCCCAGTTACTACTTATATTATAATTGCTTATGGTTGTGTTTAAGGACAACCAGTCTCGACCAGACTGTGTGGAGAGTCTTTGAGGGTCAACAACCCATGTCTTTGTCTTTGTGTTCTATTCCCCTTGCCCACGCCTGGTTGGCATTCAGCTGGAATGAATGGATGGGTGGGTGGATGGATCGATGGATGATTGTCCTTACTGTGCTACCAGATGAATACTGATTCATCATTTTGGGATTGCAGAATGCTCAGCAGAACATCTTCAATCCAGCCCTCGTTTCACCATGAGGGTGTCAGCCCCTTGGGCGTCCTTGGGAGAGAGGATGTTGATTATCCTGAAAGCATCGAAATGAAATCTGTGGGGATGGCAAATCCGTATCCAGGTGCTCCTGGCAATGGCTATGGTAAGCATTTGTTAAGAAGAGGATCATTTCCTGGGAGGAAAATAAAATTCAATGGGCTTGGGACCAGTCATTAGAGATCAGTGAGAGAAGTGGTTTACCCCCACTCATTCAAACACCCACTTTACAAAGATTGAACCCTAAGGGTGCAGAGAAGAGAAACAGTGTCATCATTTATCTGAGCACATTGGGCAGGAGTGGTGCCTGTGTGTGGAGGCTGATGGTAAGGTTCAAGCCCATGGTGGTTATGTGAAAAAGATGGTCCTAATGTGGCCAGATCCTCAGATTTTCCTAGAGAAGCCAGAAATCTAGTTTTTTACATGTTCCCAAATAATTCCTTAAATAAATAAATAAAATCCCTGTGCTGAGCAAACAAAACAACTGGTAGACTTGATTCAGTTTGCATGGCTGCCAGTGGCCAGCTTTAGTTAAGCACCTCCTAAAGGTGTTCAGATGGTCAGCATTTGTATTTTTGGAACCTACTGGGGACACAGGGAGTTAGAAGCAGCTCTGTCCTCATGATATTTAAAGCCTAGGTGAGGAGGTGACAAGAGCACATGAAGACTAAAGAAAACGAGCAAACAGATGGATAATATGTGAAAAATCATATCATTCTCAGAATCTGCGTGTGTAAAGGTTTAGCTCTGGGAGGTAGAGAAGATTCTACCAGTTCTCATCTTCTGAGAGAGAAAAAAAGGGGGACTTTTCTGATAGAGAAAGCCAGCTCATGGCACAAGTCGATGTTACAGGAATTCAGAGCTGGAGAAGGGAGTGTTCAGCCTTGAACAGAGCGTGGAGTCCAAGTGCTGGTTGGTGCAGATGAAAGATCGCTCAGCCCTGACTGGTAGGGAAGAGAATGAAGAAGACAGGGAGGAGGAGATGGGATGCATTGCCACACACTAAGGAAAAATGCGGGCTGTTACACATTTGCAGAGAAAACATTCAGTTGGGCTATTCCAAACCTTTATGCCAGGCATTCTCAGTGGGGCATATGGATCTCAAGGGGTGAAAATTTATTGAAAGGTCCAGAAAAAACCTTCCTCTTTTTATGTATAAAGAAGATACACAAAAATGTAGTTATACAATATAACTATGGTTTCCCAGCCCAAATTTTCTCTTTCCCGTGAACTCATTGGATCTGTCTTCTTATATTCCCCAGTTACTACTTATATTATAATTGCTTATGGTTGTGTTTAAGGACAACCAGTCTCGACCAGACTGTGTGGAGAGTCTTTGAGGGTCAACAACCCATGTCTTTGTCTTTGTGTTCTATTCCCCTTGCCCACGCCTGGTTGGCATTCAGCTGGAATGAATGGATGGGTGGGTGGATGGATCGATGGATGATTGTCCTTACTGTGCTACCAGATGAATACTGATTCATCATTTTGGGATTGCAGAATGCTCAGCAGAACATCTTCAATCCAGCCCTCGTTTCACCATGAGGGTGTCAGCCCCTTGGGCGTCCTTGGGAGAGAGGATGTTGATTATCCTGAAAGCATTGAAATGAAATCTGTGGGGATGGCAAATTCGTATCCAGGTGCCCCTGGCAATGGCTATGGTAAGCATTTGTTAAGAAGAGGATCATTTCCTGGGAGGAAAATAAAATTCAATGGGCTTGGGACCAGTCATTAGAGATCAGTGAGAGAAGTGGTTTACCCCCACTCATTCAAACACCCACTTTACAAAGATTGAACCCTAAGGGTGCAGAGAAGAGAAACAGTGTCATCATTTATCTGAGCACATTGGGCAGGAGTGGTGCCTGTGTGTGGAGGCTGATGGTAAGGTTCAAGCCCATGGTGGTTATGTGAAAAAGATGGTCCTAATGTGGCCAGATCCTCAGATTTTCCTAGAGAAGCCAGAAATCTAGTTTTTTACATGTTCCCAAATAATTCTTTAAATAAATAAATAAAATCCCTGTGCTGAGCAAACAAAACAACTGGTAGACTTGATTCAGTTTGCATGGCTGCCAGTGGCCAGCTTTAGTTAAGCACCTCCTAAAGGTGTTCAGATGGTCAGCATTTGTATTTTTGGAACCTACTGGGGACACAGGGAGTTAGAAGCAGCTCTGTCCTCATGATATTTAAAGCCTAGGTGAGGAGGTGACAAGAGCACATGAAGACTAAAGAAAACGAGCAAACAGATGGATAATATGTGAAAAATCATATCATTTCAGAATCTGCTGTGTGTAAAGGTTTAGCTCTGGGAGGTAGAGAAGATTCTACCAGTTCTCATCTTCTGAGAGAGAAAAAAAGGGGGGACTTTTCTGATAGAGAAAGCCAGCTCATGGCACAAGTCGATGTTATAGGAATTCAGAGCTGGAGAAGGGAGTGTTCAGCCTTGAACAGAGCGTGGAGTCCAAGTGCTGGTTGGTGCAGATGAAAGATCACTCAGCCCTGACTGGTAGGGAAGAGAATGAAGAAGACAGGGAGGAGGAGATGGAATGCATTGCCACACACTAAGGAAAAATGCGGGCTGTTACTCATTTGCAGAGAAAACATTCAGTTGGGCTATTCCAAACCTTTATGCCAGGCATTCTCAGTGGGGCATATGGATCTCAAGGGGTGAAAATTTATTGAAAGGTCCAGAAAAAACCTTCCTCTTTTTATGTATAAAGAAGATACACAAAAATGTAGTTATACAATATAACTATGGTATTAAAATGTCATGGGGATACTTCCCTGTTGGTCCAGTGTTTAAGAATTCACCTCCCAGTATAAGAGACATGGATTCAATCCCTGGTCCGTGAAGATCCCACGTTCCACTGGGCACCTAAGCCCAGGTGCCACAATGCTGAAACATGTGCACCTACAGCCCATGCTGTGCCACGAAAGAAGCCACTGCAATGAGAAGCCTGTATATTGCACTAGAATAGCCCCCACTTGCCACAACCATAGGAAGCCTGCACACAGCAACGAAGACCCAGTGCAGCCAAAAATAAATAAGTAAATAATGTCGTGAGGAAGCGCAATGAGGAAGAACTATCTTAAAAGACTCCGTAGGTGGTGGGTAATAAAAAAAAAAAAGGGTTGAGAAACACTGCCCTACTCTGATGCAAGCGGAGCTAATAACTGGTTTGGAGGGTTTCCCATGCTCTGGAGACTCTGCTAAGCACTTTACTTTTACAGTTTTCTTTCCTCGGCAGCAGACACTACTGCTCTCCCTCTTTACAAAAGGGAAAACTGAGGTTCAGAGAGAAACATGCTAAAGGTCACCTAGCTACTAAATCAAAAGGGCCTGTATCAGCCAGTCTCCCTGACTCCACATTACTGTGGGGCAGAAGCAGGGAAAATGTGGATTGCTGACCACCAAGCTCCACAGAACACTGGAATTAAAAAGCTATTTTAAAAAGTGGCCACATAAAGTGTGGCTTCCTTCTCTGGGCTCCTTTTAGGACCAAGGTTGTAGCCCCAGCATTCTCTTTTCCTGTGCTATACCATCTTGTTAGACTATGCACTCGTTAAGGAGAACCCGTTTCATCCATGTATCTTCCAAGGCTCCATGTAATTTTCCTAATGCTTGGCACACAGTAGGTGCTTGAGCAATGCTAACTGAATTAAAAGCAACAGCTGTAAGGGATGTATTGGTTAGCTACTGCCACAGGAATGCTGTGTAACAAGCAACTGTAAAACCCAGTGTTGCACAATAAACATCATTTATCTTTCATTCACGCATCTGTGGGTTTGCTTGGAGCTTGACTGAATCAGATTGGGTTTGGTTGTGTCTGATTTGAGCTCACAGATTATGTTTAGGTATAGTGTACTTCTTGACCCAGTGAACTAACCTGGGCCATTTTCATTCCATGGCATAAGCTGTAAGCACACAAACATTTAATGTCTGCGAGCAGAAACATGTAATGTCTCTGAGTCCTTGGTTTGGAACTAGCAAACTGTCATTTCTACTATGGTCCACTGGTAAAGGCAAGTCACATGACCAAGTCCAACCTCAATGGAGGTGTCCAAAGTGGAGGAAGTATAATATTTGCTGAAAAACAACTGATTTACCACAATAGTATATATTAAGAATTTGTGGTGTTCTGGGATTTTTTTTCAAGCACTTTTAAACATAGTTACATCAGTTACACATATTGACTGATTCAGTTTCTCCAACAAAAACTAACTGCTTCAATTTCCGCAACAATCCTATGTGAAGGTCTATTATTATCCTTGATTTACAGACTAAGATATTGAAACTCAGACTATTAAGTAACATATGCCAGAGAGCACACAGTTAATAAGGCAGCAAAGCTGGGAACTGATCCTTGGCAAGAAGTTCCAGAACCTCCCCCAGTATAATTTTGTACATCTCCATCAAAATGTGCTCCAATTTTTTCTGTTGTGGAGTTTAGACTTCATTGTTTATCAGGAGTTGAATAAAAATATATTGAAAAGTAACACTGTCACGTAGATGTCGAAAGTGGACTCTGTCCCTGAGAAAATCATGCCAAGTTTCTAATTTATTCATGTGTCATCATAAAAGGCTACAATTAGAATGAAGCTTTGTAATCATCTCAACAAAATTTGTTTAATTTTTAGAAGTAGGACATTTTTTAACAGAAGTTTTAGGTTCACAGTAACATTGAGGAAAAGTGACAGATTTCTCAGATACCCTGTGCCCCACACGTGCACACGTGTGTACTCACTCATTCAGTTGTATCTGACTCCCTGAGACTCCTTGGACCATAGCCCGCCAGGCCCCTCCATCCATGGAACCCTCTAGGCAAGAACACTGGAATGGGTTGCCATTTTCTACTCCAGGGAACACGCGCATGGCCTCGCTCATTATCAGGGTCCCCCACCACAGTGGGACATTTGTTACAACTGAACCTACATTGACATATCATTATCACCCAAAATCCTTAGCTTACATTAAGTTTGACCTTGGGTGGTACATTCTATGGGTTTCAACCCTTGTATCCATCATAAGGGTATCCTACAGAGTATTTTCACTGTCCTAAACCCCTCTGAAGCTTCCCAGGTGGCGCTAGAGGTAAAGAACGTGTCTACTAATGCTGAAGACATAAGAGACGTGGATTTGATAGCTGGGTCAGGAAGATTCCTTGGAGAAGGAAATGGCAACCCACTCCAGTATCTTTGCCTGGAGAATCCCATGGACAGAGGAGCCTAGTGGGCTACAGTCCATAGGGTCACAAAGAGTGGGACATAACTGAAACAACTTAGCACACAAATCCCTCTGAGCTCCATCTATTCATCCCTTCCCCTCCAGACAAGTATTTCTCAAACTCTGAGTTATGGCCCACTAACAAGGTCCTGCTGACCATCGTGTGCTCAGTAATAATTAGTGTGGGATTAATTGTCTTGTCTCTTCATTCCAGTGAATCCTGCTTATGTGGGTGATGATGGTCTCGGCCCAGCTTATGGAGACCCACCCTTGTCTGGACATGATTGGTTCAGTTCACCCCAAGGTAAGGCTTCAGTGGACAGTGACCAAAAGCATCCGTCCTGCAGAAGGAGCCTGTTCAAGGCAATGCAGACACTGCACTGACTCTTGGCCTCTGGTGTAGTAACTGATGCGGCACTTCCTTAATTCATCACAATAGGTTTTATTCTAAACATGCAGAGTTTTTTTCTCCTTTGGATATCAAGGTGTCTTCGCTAGGACTCTTCTGGTTGCAAGTGACAGAAACCCAGCTCACCCAGGCCCAAGGCTTGTTGCTGCGGGAAGGATGTGGGTAAACAAAGAACAGAAGGTAGAATTGCCTTCCAGCACTTTAGTACAGAGCATGGCATGGCGCATAGTAGGTGCTTAGAGGTATTTGTTGGATGAGTTAAGGAACCAGGGCCTCTGGGTCTGAAGCCAGGAGCTCAGGGCCACCTGGACTCTCTTTTTCTCCATCTATTTCACAGACAGCTTCTCTTTAAGCTTCACCTGATTCATCTCAACTAGTCAGGCCTTCTCTGCTGGCCAGGGAGCTTGACATCAGACACACACACAGCCAGCAATCTCAGGGGGAATCTTCCTCTCTTTCTATGCCTGTTGGCCATTACTGCGGAACCTCTCTCCAGCCCCATTTGGGACACAGGCCTACACATGAACCAGTCATTTTTACATAGGAAAGAAGGCTTGGGTCACATGTCCGTCCCATGGCTAATACATGTGTTGGTGAGATGGCAGTGCCTTGATCAAAATTTTTCTGAATAATCATAGAATTATTATGATGGTGGAGGATAGGAGCAATCAGCTTGAAGAAGGCTTTGAAATCAGTTAGGAAGCTCTATAAGGATCACCGTGTGCTGTGAGGAAGGTCTGATCAGAGGCAGAGGCCGAGGAAATAAAAAAGCATCAGAGGAGAGAGGTCAGGGAATGCTGGAAGCTAGAGGCAAACCTGTGAATACCAAGGAATAAGTGGAAGACATCCTCTGTGTAACAACACATATTGTGGGGCCCCAAGGCTTGAAACTATCTCTCACCTTTTGACACCCGACCCTGTAGCTTCATTCTTTAAGAGGCTTCTTAAGGAGGCCTGTATCTTTCAAGAAATAGGTGTTGCCACTCGGGAGAGAACACCATGGGGATATAAACAATCATGCTCTCTGTCTGTCTTCCACGAGAGCAGGGAATGGCTTTAACTACTGGGGAAAAGAAACGCCTTCAAACCTCTTAAGATGCTCTGTGGCCAATATGAAGATTCGGGCCTCTAGGTGGGAGCGGAGTCCCCAGAAGGCAGAGAGAAGTATAGAAATAGAGGACCCAGAGATGAACCTGGCTTTCTCTACCATTTTGCTTTACTAGTTCTGATTCTCAAATCATTTACAATTAACTGATGGACAGTCTTCTGGATAGAGTGTCACTTTGGTGGATCATGCTAGCAGCTAGGAAGTGCCTGGCACTTAGTAAGTACTCATAAATTTTCACTTACGAATGAAGGAAGTAGTGAATGATACATTAGCATCTGCCGACAGGAAAGGACCAGGGTGAAGTAACCAAGGCACTGTGCTTTGGGACCAGACAGACTTCGGTTTGATCCTGAGCTCTTCTACTTGCTGGTTTGTAGCCTTAAACAAATTACCTTTTTGGGCCTCAGTTTTCTTAGTTATAAAATGGGGTTTATTACAGTACTTACTTCATAGGGTGATTGTGAAAATCAAACAATATATTCTATTTAAAGTAGTTAGCCTGCAGATATTGTTACTGATAGCTATCATATATTGTTTTTTACAAGGAACTTTTTTTGGCTGTGCTGGGTCTTTGTTGCTGTGTGCAGGCTTTCTCTAGTTGTGGCCACAGCTCTCTAGTTGTGGTGCACAGGCTTGGTTGCTCCACGGCATGTGGAATCTTCCTGGACTAGGGATTGAACCCATGTCCCCTGCATTAGCAGGCAGATTCTCAATACTAGTAATTATCGTTGGTGTGGGGAGAAGGAAACAGTTCTATTATTAGTCCAGTCCTGCCATTTAATGAGAGTATGATTAGGAGGGAGTTTAGTTCATTCCTCTGCACCTCAAATTCTCCAACTATTAAATAAACAGCATGGCCAAGGTGATTTCCAGATCAGGTCTTCTGGGTAGGGACTGTGTCCAGGTGCCCAGCACTGACATAGGACAGTGGTTTAGCAATAAAGGGATTTATTTTCCTCTTGTGACAAGAAGTATGCCAAGAATGAGTCCAGAGTTTTTATGGCACCCCTGTCCATGATACTCTCAATGCCTGAGGCTCCTTCTGAAGTGTCTTTTCCCACCACCCTCGGCTGGTAAACGTTTTACCCTCTTTTTTCCAAATGGCTGTATCTGGTCGGGAAGAAGGTGAAATAGTGAAATGCCAAGGGTTAAATCAGGCAAACTTTCACCCATTAAAGAGCGTTAATGGAAGCCACAATCTTGTTGGCTAGAATGGGGTCACAGGCCCATCCTAGGCTGCAAAAGGAGCCACTCTTTGCCACGAAGGAAGCTGGGAGAGCTCTAGCTGAGCGCAGTGACTGCACAGGAAAGGAGGCATCTGCTGATGTGAGAGTAAGAGAGAATGGGTGTGGGAAGCAGCCGGACAGCAGTGGGGCCACCCAGGCAGTCAGGAGGTAGCAGCTGTTTCCCTGTAAACCCATCTGGATGTATATAGGCACATAAAACTAAAGATAAAACGTAAGTCTTGGATCAGAGGTACCAATTAAAAAGACCTTGCCCTTTGATTATGAGTCATTTAGAAGAATCTCTGCCTTCTGTTTTTAGAATCCTATTGCTTTAACGAAGAATTCTGTTTCTGGCCTTTTACCTAGCTACTGGGACAGAATCTCCACAGGAAAACACTCCTCTTCTCGGGGATCCCCCTCTGGTGTAGATGTGGGGAGCTGTACTGTGATTTGTGGGGGACTGGTTTTGTCCATCTCATCCTGGCATTAATAACTGTGGATGGGGCAGCTCTCTGTGACTGTCATCACTTTTCTGGGTGGTTCCCAACAATGCCAGTGTGACTGCTATATGAGGTCTTGGGAAGCTCACCTTGGTGGGACTTAAGGCTTGGGGGGACGAGAGATGCTTTCTGGTGGTCAAGTGAATGAAATCATTGTCGAGGTTGAGCATGTCCCATTGGGGGTCCAAAGCCGACCATCTTCAAGTCAGATTATTCCAGAAAAGACACCGGTGAACTCAAACTTCATCCTGGTCTCCTCCATTTCTGACAGCGATGTGACAGACTCTCAGATTTTCAGCAATCGGAATGACCAAAAGGGCAAGCAGTTATTACGGTTTGCAACACCTTCGAAGGAATCGTTTTCTCAGACTCTTCATAACTCAGAAAACACAGGCTTAGGCACCCTTCATACTTCACATGAGAACATCCAAGGTGAGACCCTGGGGCAGAGGAGTTAGGATGGGAGCAACCCCTTCTGAGTTGCCCGTAGCATTGTGGTTTTAAAACACTGAATAGAGTGAAGGCTTGGTAGATGACCTGAGGCTGCCTGGGACTCGGAAGGGGTCACTTTGAGAGGACCTGATGCCTAAGAAGGAGTTTTACCTTGATCAAGCTCATTTCACATGCCCGGTGTTCTGCCTTTGTGTTATCCATCAAATTTAGTTTTATTTGCCTGCCACTCTCCGCACGTGTGATACAGGCACGCCTGTCATTTCCATTTGCTGAGGGACTGAGGCTCAAGGAAATTAAATAACATAGCAGATCTGTGATCAAATGCAGGTCTGTCTGATTCCCAAGCCTGACGCCTTAACCACCATCCTGAACTGCTTTGGACCCAATCCCTAGGTTCATGTATCATGCGATGCCTCTATTTGTCAAGTCCTTCATGAAGCCAGGTCTTAACTGAGACCCTCCCTTGCCTCACAGCTCCTGACATCAAACACTGTTTCCCAGATGTTGTTTCTCTTTCTCCCCGTAATACTCCAGGCATGAAGTCCAGCCATTCTCAGTGACTTCTAAAAGGGGGGAAAAACTCTATTCACACCAAAGCATTTTATGAGTTTTGCTCCTTTGTTGAAAGATGGGGCATCTCGTCACATTGCTGTCTCCCCGAATTTATGGGCTTTTTTTCCTTCTTCACCTTTATTCCTCTGTCTGTCCCCACGTCTTTCTTAGGAGATGCTCAAATTCCTCATCTTCAGTCAAGTGATTTGGAGGCTCTCTTCTGGGAATTCTCCCTCTGCCTCAGCTATGTCACTGAGAGGAGAGTTCCCCATGTAGCTCAACAACAGGGCCAGGAGCCAGCCACTCCTGCCATGGGCCCAGTGGCCCCCACTGCTCCCCACCCCTGTTATGGATGGGGCCAAGTGCCATGCAGACACAACCCACCCAGAGGGAGAAGGCACTGCCTTTTCCTTGTTTTTTGAGTCTTGCTTTTTTGAGAAGGAAGAAACCCTTTTCATGCAACCCCTCAGTAGACCACCTCTCAGAATCGCCAATGCTATCACATACCTGGAGCTAAATAGGTCACCTGCTGGGGGCTGGGGCCATCGAGATAGACTCAGACTCACAGGGCCTGCTGGGCCCTGGCGATGAGAACCTGGAGATGAACTGCACCCTGCAGAAGCCCAGGACCATGGGAGGGAGGTGGGTAGATGCCTAAACTGAATTGGGATCCTATTAAAAAGGAGAGATGATTGTGGGGTAGGTGATCACAGCATCTGCCACATGGACCTAAAGTGTGAATCTGAGTTCTTGGGAGAGGAGAGGGGACATCATTCCAGGGTGGAAGAGCAGAAGACAACAGTCAAGAAAAGTAAAGAAGATGCTTGGGCCTGAAGCTCAGGGGGCGAGAGAAAGTCGTGCAGGAAATTACAGAGAGAAAAGAACCAGGCTGACCACACATTCTGGCTTTGCTGAATGTGCCGTGTCATAGGAAAAAGGAAAACATGGAATTGGAATTGCATACAAACTGTCACGTGCTTTGGCTTTGAGATGTCACATGTGCATGCATCATCTTCTTGTTTTTATTTGTGGCTTTTTGGCTCACCGAGTCTGCATATTCTTTCCTGTGCACTCATAAAAACATGCTCTAGATCTTTAGCACCATATTTTCAATTGCTATTATTCTGTTAAAATTTTTAAAAATTTAATCTCCATTTTTTTTTTTTCCTGCAGGACAAAAGTTAATCGAGTCTCTGATACCCATGACATCTAGAGACAGAATTAAAGCCATTAGGAATCAGCCAAGGACCATGGAAGAAAAAAGGAACCTTAGGTATGGACCAAAAGTTTTTTTCCTTGCACAGATTTCATGGAAACTTTAGTCTTCTACCTTTGTCTAATGTCAGAAAGATAAGAAATAAACGCAAAAGAAAAGAAAGAAACGCAAGGGAAGAGGCAATCTTCCTACCAAAGAATTCCACATAATGTGTGTTGGTCACCTGGATTCTGGGCTCTGCTTAGTGACCTGCTTCCAGAGAGTGGAGGATGGAAAGAGGGGGACATCGCTTCCTGGAGTGAAGTCTAGCTAATCCTACCTGGGCCAGGTGCTTAAGACTAACATCCCCAGAGATAAGTCGTGTGATCAAAGAGTCCTCTGTGTGTGTGTGTGCATGCATGCTTAGTCATGTCTGACTCTTTGCAACCCCATGGACTGCAGCCCACCAGGCTCCTCTGTCCATGAAATTCTCCAGACAACAATACTGGAGTGGGTTGCATTTCCTTCTCCAGAGGATCTTTTCAACCCAGGGACTGAACCTGTGTCTCTTGCACCTCCTGAATTGGCATGCATGTTCTTTACCAGCTGAGGCACCTGGGAAGCCCCCCACCCCCGTGTACTCTCTTCTAAAACCCACAACACTAGTCTAACCAGAGAAAAAAAAGCAGAGAAAGCGTAATCAAGGGACGGTTTTCATAATACCTGAGCAGTATTCTTCAAAACTGTCAAGATCATCAAAAAGAAGGAAAGTTTGAGACATGGTCACAGACTGGAGGGTTCTAAAGAGACATGACTGCTAATGAGATGTGGGGTCCTGGACGGGTCCTGGAATAGAAAATGAGCATCTATGGGAAAACTGGTGAAGTCAGGATAGTCTGGAGTTTAGGTAAAAGTTGCACACCAACGTTGATTCCTTAGCTGCAGCCAACCTACCATAGAAATGTAAGATGTTAGCAGAGGAAATGGTGAGTGGGAGATGGGGATTTCCTGCATTGTTTTTGTAACTTCTCTGTAAATTTTAAACTCCTCTTAGAAGAAAGGTGTGTGTAAGGGGAGAGTTCCCTGGTGATCCAGTGGTTAGGACTTGGCACTGTCACTGCTGTGACCTGGGCTCAATGCCTGGTAGGGGAACTAAGATCCTGCAAGCCATAGCTGTACCAGGCAGGTGCAGGGGTCAGGGCAGAGAACAGGGACACAGAACCCAAACAAACAAAACCTCAGAAGCTTTCTAAGCCCAGGAGTTCAAAAACAAGAGTGAGGGCTGTTTAAGCCTTCAGCCCTTCTTGCATTTATCATTCCTCAGCATTTTTCTTTTTGCAATTTGTAGGAGTTGACAGGGCTTCCCAGGTGGCACAGTAGTAAAGAATTCGCCTGCCCGTGCAGGAGACCCAAGAGATGAAAGTTTCACTCCCTGGATTGGGAAGATCCCTTGGAGAAGGAAATGGCAACCCACTCCAGTATTCTTGCCTGGAAAATTTCATGGACAGAGGAGCCTGGCGGGATACAGTCCATGGGTCACAAAGAGTTGGACATGACTTAGTGACTAAGCACAGGGATGGTAGTGGAGTCGATGCAATTGCTAATAAATAATTGTATGTGTGTAAATAGATGATGTAATTGTTCTGAGATTCAGAGTCTGGCAGGGAGAGTAGATTGGTCAACAAGTAACTTATAAATGATGGAAAGAATATCAGGCCAAATCAAGGTAGAAGGAGATTGCAAATCAAGGTAGAAGGAGTCTTTCTAGAAGGACTAGAAGATAACAGGACTAGAGTTAACAGTCCACTTGGGCAAAGTAGGGGATGTCTGGGAACTGAACTTTGGAAGACGGTGTTGTGGGGGTGGGCCTTTGGCTGGGCCAAAGGAAAGAGCCCAGAGCAAAGGAGAGGTAATGAGTTCGTGGAAAAGTAAAGAGAACAACTGCAGCTGGATCTTTTTCGAAACACTCTTCTGTTTCAAACTCTGCTTGGCTCTGTCTGTCACACAGTGAGGGCCTTGTGATGACCCAAAAGACTTTACAGCAGGATTTTCAATCTGACATTTGAGTCGGGATTATTCTATGTTTGGGGGGCTGTCCTGTTCACTGTAGGGTATATACAGCAGCATCCCTGGCCTCTAGATGTCAGCGGCACTCCCAACCCCCAGGCTGACAACCAAAAAGTCTCCAGACGTACCCAAATATCCCTTGAGGCCAAAAATCTTCCTGGTTGAGATCCACTGTCTTCTAAGACCCCAGCCACTTACCCACAGTTATCACTCACACTCTCCACCCTTCCCCTTCTCATTCCTGCCCATCCTGGCCTCCTTGGGGCTTCGAGTCGGCTGTTTCTTGTGCTCGGACAGTCCCTTATCCACAGACTAACCCTCTCTTCTCCTTCCAGACTTTATGCAAATAAGGTGCTATTCAAATCGTAACAGGGTCTTCATCCCAGTGTTTCCCACCTCCTTACTCTGCTGTTTTCCCCTCCTCTTTCCCATAGTACCACTCACCTTCTATTATCTTATATTGTTTACCTACTTTATGATTACATTTCTTGTTTGTTTTCTTCCTCTTCCAACTAAGGTGTCTGCTCCAGGAGCTGGGGAGATCTGTCTGTGTCTCACCACCTGGGACTGTGCCTGGCACGTGGCAGGCACTCAAGAAATGTCAAGGGGATGGATGCATTACCACATTGGTGTCTCACTTTCTTCTGCCCTTTCCCACAGGAAGATGGTCGACAGAGAGAAAAGTAAGCAGTCCCGTCGTATCCTGGAGCTCAATTGCTGTGCCCAGTGTCTGAACTCCATCTCACTGGTAAGTTGGTCTTTACTGAGGTCAATAAATGGGCACAGAGGAGGGTGAAGCCAGGGAGTGGGGAGAGTGGGGATGACAGGGGACTCACAGGAAGGAAAAACCAAAATTCAGGGCTGTTTCCTTGAAAGATGTAGAAACTGGGTCAGTTTAGGTGTGGGGAAAACACGTGGGCATAGGAAGGTCTAAGGAGCTGCAGTTATTTAGTTATTTGGGCAGCCTAGCTATTGTGAGTGTCACCTTCAACAGCAAACATAGGAAGATAATAAATAATGGTGACACCGACCCAGGTTCTTGGCCTTCCTTAATCAATAGAAATTGATAAGAGGCCAGATAAGAAATTCTGGCAAGTCTTTACTAGGGCCCCTGCAAAAACAAGTAGCAGGTTCTCTTGCTTGCTCCCCAAGGTAGGGGCAGGCTGGTTCCTAATATGGGCTGAGAGTAGGGGTATGTCCAGGGGAGTGGTGGCGATGGTGATGCCATCCAACCATCTCATCCTGTCTCCCCCTTCTCCTCCTGCCTCAGTCTTTCCCAGCATCAGGGTCTTTTCCAATGAGTCAGCTCTTTGCCTCAGGTGGTCAAAGTACTGGAGCTTCAACCTCAGCATCTGTCCTTTCAGTGAATATTCAGGGTTGATTTCCTTTAGGGTTGACTGGCTTGATGTCCAAGGGCCTCAGAAGCGGTGGCCTGTTGCTACTGTCAGGCCTGTTCAGTAGGTATTTGTTGAGGGGCCGTCCAGCCCTGCACTTTGTGTCCACCCCCAGGCATACCGAAGGTTCAAGAACAACCTGTCAGAACTGCTCGATTCCATCAGCCTGTGGCAGAAGACGCTCAAGGTCATCGGAGGCAAGTTCGGCACCAGCGTCCTCTCCTATTTCAACTTTCTGAGGTGGCTTTTGAAGTTCAACATTTTCTCGTTCATTGTGACCTTCAGCTTCATCATCATCCCTCAGCTGACTGTGACACAGGAGAACCACCTCCAATTCACTGGACTGGAATTTTTAACCGGGGCGGTAAGTGCTCCCCCCACACCTGGAGGTCATACTTGGAAACCCTGCTGGCGCCCTTCTAGGCCTCTCATTTGCCCGAGAGTCAACTGGTGCGAAAATGGGTGTGTAAAATGCTTTCTCTTTTTCTCCAAAGTGACACACACACAATTTCGGGAGAATTTCTGTCTCCCGAGGTGACCATGTTAACAGTTTCTCTTGTCCAGAATCCTCTTCTCTGCACACCTATGGGCATGTTATGCACAGACATACACATCGTTTATTTTTAAACAAAAGATGAATTATTCATACGGACTTCCTGTGACTTGCTTCCTTCCACCATCTCATATTGGTGCTCATAGATCTACCTTTTCTTTCTTTTTCATTTTCTTTCTACAAAATACAGTGCTTCTTTTAAAAAAAATTTTGCTAGTATAGAAGAGAACAAATTAAGAAAAAGTCTATTTCATGCTCATTCTTTTGTCTACCCCTCTAGTTTGGAGTGTATCTTTATCCACCATTTTTCTTCCTATACAGTCATAGATACATAGATACACAAGTCAATAATACTAAAATATTTTTTTAAATAAAAAGAGGGTGAGATAATACAAGTCTTGCTTTGCAACATTTTTTGCTTTACTGTGTATGTTGAGCGTGGATACACATCCATGTTATCCTCTTTATTAACAACCACAGTGTTACCTACCAAGTGCTTTATTGGAGCACATAGCTCCCACCTTGTGAATTTACCTTCTAGAAGAGGTTTCTGCCACTGAGATTCTGTGGATAGACAAATAGCTCAAGGGCCAAATCTGGCTCACCACCTGTTTCTATATATAGCCTGCAAAATAAGATTGGTTTCCACATTTTTTAATGGTTGGAAAAAAAATAAAAGGGATAACCTTTTAAAATTGGAATGTAATTGCTTTATAATGTGTTGGTTTCTGCTGCACAATGAAGTGAGTCATTCATATGTATACATATGTATATACATATATGTATATGTATGTATATGTATGTATATACCTATGTATGTATATGTATGTATATACATGTATATACATATATCCCTTCCCTCACGGACTTGCCTCTCACCCCATTGCCATCCTGCTCGTCTAGGTCATCACAGAGCGCTGAGCTGAGCCCCCCGTGCTATAGAGCAGGTCCCCACTAGCGATCTGTCTTATACGTTGTAGTGTATACATGTCAGTTGTGCTCTCCCAATTCATCTCACCTTCCTCTCCTCCACCCTCATGTCCACATGTCTGTTCTGTATATCTGCCTCTGTATTCCTGCACTGCTAACAAGTTCATCTGTACCATTTTTTCTAGAGTCCACATATATGCATTAATATACAATATTTGCTTTTCTCTTTCTGACTTACTTCACTCTGTATGACAGACTGTATCGATCCACATCTGTACAAATGACCCGATGTTGTTCCTTTTTTCTGGCTGAGTAATATTCCATTGTATATATGTACCACATCTTTATCATTCATCTGTTGATGGACATTTGGGTTATTTCCATGTTCTGGTTATTGTAAATGGTGCTGCAATGAACAATGGGGTATATGTATCTTTTTGAATTATGGTTTTCTCAGGGTATATGCCCAGTAGTGGGACTGCTGGGTAATACGGTAGTTCTGTTTTTAGTTTTTTAAGGAAATAAGGGGCCTGTATAAATTAGAGGAACAAATTAGAGAGACCTGCAAGAGACAATTAGACAACTGTGGAAGGTAGAACATTGGAATGTACACATAACTGTTGAATCGTTTCCTCCGGGTCTCTCTGATTTGTTCCTCAGATTTACACAGGCGCCTTATTTCCTATAAGTTGAAGTTTAGACCTGAAGACTTGGTTTGTTTCATTTTAAACATTTGACCATAAGACCTAATAGATGACAGAGTCACATAACAGCTGGCTGTCCTGCTTTTAGTCATGCTTGGCTTGGCCACTGGGTCCAGCTGGTGATCACTGGGCCCCTCCATTGTAAACCTGTGCTGCTTTGCAATTCCTTTCTACCTCTAAGAGCCTTGTGATAAGATGTCTAGGTTCTCAGTGGCCTTGTTTGCCTCTTTCCTGGCAAATAAAATGTCTAAGCTGACCAGTACAGGCTTCTTGTATACAGAAAAAATAAACTCTACTGCCCATAGTCATTCATTGTTTTCTTGAGAGATCCACCTGATCTGGGATTTATTGTCCTTTTCAGGGTTATTTTACCAACACAGTGATGTACTATGGCTTTTACACCAATTCTACGATCCGGCATGGCAACAGTGGGGCCTCCTACAACATGCAGCTGGCCTACATCTTTACAATTGGAGGGTGTTTGGTCGTCTGCTTTTTTAGTTTGCTCTTCAGGTATGGAATGTTTGCATTTTCTGATTCTAAGCTCTTTATAGTTTTAGGAAAAATTTTAGAGACTCAAAAGTTACTGGGGGAACGTTTTTCTCTGCAATTTCAACTTTCTACTCCTATCTAATCCTTTGTTGTCCTAGAACATAAACTGTAACTTTGGACAGAGGAAGATAAATTTTCATGTGCTTTTAAAGAAATGGGTCAGTCTGAAAATAAGGATGCAACAACTCAGGTGGTTTTGATGAATGGTTGTAAATTGACAGTTGTCAAATGTTCAATCTGTTAAACCTGTTAGCTTACTAAGTCTTTGTAACAAAGTACCACAGACTGGGGGGCTTAATCAACAACATTTTTTTCCCCCTCAAATTCAGGATGCTAGAAATCCAAGTTCAAGATGTTTCAGCAGGTTTGGTTTCTCCTGAGGCTTCTCTCGCCGGCTTGCTGACAGCCACCTTCCCACTCTCTCCTCGTATGATCTACCCTCCATGCATATCTGAGTCCTAACATCCCCCTCTTATAAGGGGGGGGATACAACACCAGCCATGTTGTATTGGGCCCACTTAAATGATCTCACTTTAATTTAATTACCTCTGTACAGATCCTATCTCAAAACCCAGTCAATTTCTCAGGTACTAGGGGTTGTGTATTATGTGTGTGTTAGTCTCTTGGTCATGTCTGACTCTTCGAAACCCCATGGACTTTAGCCCTCCAGGCTCCTCTGTCCACGGGATTCTCCAGGCAAGAATACTGGAGTGGGTAGCCATTCCCTTCTCCAGGGAATCTTCACAACCCAAAGATCAAACCCCGGTCTCTTGCATTGTAGTCATAGGACTTCAAAATATTAATTTTTAAGGAGTACAGTTCAGCCCATAACAACCTCACTGCTAGCATGATAATCCAAAATAAAACAAGATTTTGTTTTGTCCTATCGAACTAGGAAATGTTTCTGTTTCTTAACCTGTTATTACTTGATGGTGGCAAACTTTACAAAGGTAGTGTCATTTTGCTCAGAATTTTTTCACATGTCAGGCTTAGTGCTAAGTGCTTCCTGGACCCAATCTCAACGAATCCTAGACATCTCCATGATAATTACAGCTGCCTTTATTGAGTGCTTACTGTGCTAAGGGCCACATTGACTCTTGCTGTGGGCTGAATAATGCCCCCTCTTCAAAGATGTCCATGACCTAATCCCCAGAAACTGTGACTATAGTACTTTATCTGGCAAAAGGAATTTTCCAGAAGTGATTTAGTTAAATATCTTAAAATGGGCTGATGCAATCACAAGGGTCCTTTAAAGAGGGAAGCAGGAGAGTCAAAGTCAGGGAAAGAGCAGAAGATATTACTCTTCCAGCTTTGAAGATGAAGGAGCCACAAGCCAGGAAATGCAGGCAGCATCTAGAAGCTGGAAAAGGCAGGGAAACAGATTCTCCTCTAAAGTCTCCAGAAAGAACATGACTCTGCCAATACCTTGATTGTCGATCCATTTTCTGATTTCTGACTTCTAGTAAGAATACATGTTGTTTTAAGCCAGTAAGTTTAGGGCAATTTGTTATAGCAGCAAGAGGAAACTAATGCAACTCTCATGGTGAACTAGTATTATCCCCCTTATACAGATGTGGAAACTGAGGGTTAGGACCCTTAAAATGACAAAATCCTCCCAGCTGGCAATCAAAGATTACAAAGTCAGATCCCAAAGCCAGTGCTCCTGACTATTATGTTTGCTGTTGCCCTGTTCCAGAACTTCAGGCTAATGCTTCCATGTTGCCTTTCACCACTAATGATGGAACTGTTCCTTGTTATAATCCCTGCACCCCCACTGTCTGTCCTAGTAACGCTTGGGTATTTTGGTTTCTGCCTTTCCTAGTATGGCCAGGTATTTCCGGAACAACTTCATTAACCCCCACATTTACTCCAGAGGGATCGCCAAGCTCATTTTTTGTTGGGACTTCACCGTCACTCATGAAAGCGCAGTAAAGCTGAAACAGAAGAATCTGAGCACTGAAGTCAGGGTAAGGAGAGCCAGCTTTACACCCCTTCCCATGGCCAGCCCTCCTTCCTCCTTCAATATGCCTGTAAATTTTCTTAAAGGAATAATGTTTCATTTTTAATCCTCCATGATATTGGAAAAAAAAAAAAAAAACTATTTTAAATGCCCAGTTCTGGTGATAGTGTTGGGAAATGAACATTTTCACACAACGTGGTTACTTTGTTATTGACATAAGCTTGCTGAAGGGCAGTTTAACAATTTATTACAAGGTGTTAAATACTTATCGACCTCACAGTTCTAGGTTTAAAATTTTATCCAGTGATTTTTGACTCAGGGCAGATTTGCCCCAGAGACACAGGGCAATGTCTGGAGGCTTTTTTGATTGTTTCTGCAGAAGAGTGTGTATTACCAGCATCTAGCGGGTAGAGGCCAAGATGCTGCTCAACATCCCATCGTGCACCGGACAAGCCTTCAAAACAGATTTATCAACTCTGAATGTCAATAGAGCTAAGGTTGACAAACCATGATCTATAGAAAATTATTTAAGAGAAAAAAAGAGCAAGCAGAATTTATAAACTAAGGGGCTTTGACAAGAGGGGTGCAGAAGTTTCCTCAGCCTTATTCTTCAAGATCACGGTCCCAATCTCTTTCCCTCTGAGATGGAAAAGGTATTCAATGAAGCGATGGGGGGTTCTTGCCCATTAGAGATTTTCCTACAGGTCTCCTAATCCAAGTTCATGGTGCTTCTGCCCACTCTCGCGCCTGTGGGTTTGTGTCTCTGTGAGAGAATGAAACCCCAGGGGTGGTGATCTTTGCTGACAGTGTAGGGGTTCTGCGAGTGAACTCGATTTCCTTGTGTTTACAGGAGAACCTGTCAGAAATCCGTCAGGAGAACGTCAAGTTAACATTCAATCAGCGGTTTATCCGCTTCTCTGCCCACGTGGCAGCCTGGGTTGTCTCTTCCGGAGTGGCCATCGCCTGCTGTGCAGCCGTCTATTACCTGGCTGAGAACAACTTACAGGTAACCAGAGAGGCAGGAGGTCCAGGGTCCAGAGTGCAGAGAAGCAGGTGAAGGGGCGGGATGCAGGAGGGGCAGGTAGGGTCCTGGTCACCACCCTCAACAAGGTTGTGGCCAGCAGCATCGCCACCAGGAGGAAGTTTGTTTAAAAGTGCAAAATCCTGGGTCCCTCTCTTGGTCCATGGACCCAGAATCTGCCTTATAAGAACATCCCCAGGGGATGTGTGCACACATCTCAGGGTGGAGGCTCTGGGCTAGTGGAGAGATGGGAACTTTGACCACAGACCTGGGATCAGATTCTGATGTCCTCCTTAGTTATTATATACCTAATGCCTCTCTGACACCAAGTAGACACTTAGTAAATATTATGAACCAATGGAATCTGGCTAGTGATTTACTCTTCCCATGGGCTTCGCTGGTGGCTCAGATGGTAAAGAATCTGCCGGCAACCCAGGAGACTGAGGTTTGATCCATGGATCTGGAAGATCCCCTGGAGAAGGGAATGGCAACGCACTCCAGTATTCTTGCCTGGAGATTCCCATGGATAGAGGAGCCTGGCAGGCTACAGTCCATGGGGTCCCAAAGAGTTGGACACGATTGAGTGACTAACACCTTCACTTTAGTCTTCCCAAGCCCCTAATTCCTTACCTATAAACTGCAATACCTGCTTTGTTAGGTGTGTGGTCTGGACTAGAGAAAAGTTATGTGAAGAGTGTACTTAGTACCTGGTACTGTGGGTGATAAAGGAATGTTAATTTTTTTTTATTTTAATGATATGAACTCTGAGACTAATTAGCTGGGTGGACAAAGTACTGTTTCTCTGTGTGTTTCAGCTCCTCTTCTGGAAATGGGGCTAATTGTAGCTGATTTTGCAGACCCCTAGAATTGTACAGGTTGGTCTGATTGTGTCTCTTTCTTTATTGTCTTCCCAGTACTCTAAATATAAAACCTACCCTCCATGGCATGATTGATGGATCTTTTGTGATGTGGCCACTGCCCACATCTTTAGTCTCAATACCCCACAACCACCTATATACCACACCAGCAACACTAAATGATATGGCCCTAGTTCCCTGAACACGCCATGTTTTCCCTTATCTCTAGATGGGAAACACGCAGTTCATTCTACACTGCCGCCCCTCCCCTTCATCTGGCAAACTCCTCCTTTTCTCCTGCTAGACCTCATCATGAGTGACACGTCCTCCGGAAATCTTTTCTCACCATCACCTCCCTTACTAGATTGAGTTAGGTGCGCCTGACTCTGCAGTCTTTCCCCATGTGCTTGTCACATGCAGCCTTGAAAATGCTTGTTGACGCATTTGTTTCTTCAAAAGAATAACCAGGCACCTGGCCCAGCTTCTGGTACATAGTAGGTGCTCAACCCAATGGAGGAGGAGCCAGCAAGAAATGGGTGTGGAATGAAAGAAACCTAAGGGTTCATATTAAGGTTTGCCCTGAAAGAGATGAACCTGAGTCCCAGTCCTCCAGGGCCTGGAACTGTCTGCCTGGGTTGGAAGGTGTGGCAGGGCAGCTGTAAGTAAAAAGAAGACTTCCGAGTTTCTCCTTGACTCCGAAGGTTTTCTTCACACTCACCTGAAGTGATGGAGAGAGTGAAGGAGGAGGAGAAGAGTCATTCCCATTGTTTGAACATCTGTGCCAGGCGAGATCAACCCTCTGCACAGCTCGAGGAGCTACAATTTCACATGAATGGTGCCCCCAGCCGTGTCATTTAGCAGCTCTGCAGCTGGGCCTTTCCTTATTTGAAAGTGAAAGTGGCTCAGTCGTGTCCGACTCTTTGCAACCCCATGGACTATGCAGTCCATGGAATTCTCTAGGCCAGAATATTGGACTGGGTAGCCTTTCCCTTCTCCAAGGGATCTTCCCAACCCAGGGACTGAACCCAGTTCTCCCACATTGCATGTGGATTCTTTACCAGCTGAGCCACCAGAGAAGCCAAGAATACTGGAGTGGGTAGCCTATCCCTTCTCCAGCAGATCTTCCCAACCCAGGAATCGAACTTGGGTCTCCTGCACTGCAGGAGGATTCTTTACCAACTGAGCTACCAGGGAAGCCCCTTATGTGGTCTCACTTAATTCTTACAGTATCTCTGTGGGTTGTATGATAATCTCCCCATCAGGCAGACTAGGAAAGAGGCTCAGAGAAGCTATGCTTGTGGTTCCAAAGCTTCAGCTTATAAGCACAGGGAGGGAGGCAGCATTTGACCCTAAGTTACTCTGGCTCCAAAGATACTGAGAAAGTGCAAGTGGTGTTTTCAAAGCTATCCAGAGGTAAGTAGAGGCACTGTCAGGCTTCAGGGTAGGAAGTAGGGGAACTTTCAGGCATCAGATAAATCCACTAGAATCTTACCCGAGAGCGCCTGGCAGAGGGGCAGCATAGGCTTCACTCCAGCCAAATGCCAGGGTGGTGTCCACACGAAGGCAGGGGCACCCCTCTGACCCGCATAGAAAAGAGCAGCATGGGCTAGCAGAGGCTCCCCTTGCCCCTGATTCAGCACCCGAGGACGGGCAAAGCTTGGTGAAATGAACAACGGCACGCAGGAGAGCAGAGGAGAAATTCCCTTGGGTCGTAGCTTTGATAGCTTGAGCTTTTCTTCCAACAGCCTGGAGCACATTCTCATGTTTCCACACCTCTTGGTGAGGAAAGTAAAGTCACAGAATGGCTGTTGGGCCATAGGTCCCTGAGTCTGATAGACCTGGGTTCAAATCTGCCAATTCCTAGCTGGGGAACGCTGGGCAAGCATCTTTGCCTTTCTCAGCCTCAGACTGCCTATCAGTTAAGTCTATTAACACCCACCTATTGGGCTATAGTGGGAGTTAAAGCATCATGTGAGTAATTCTTGGCCGAGGGCAAGTGCTTGGTAAGTGGTACTTTAATAGCTAAACTCAGAGGAGGTTTTCTCACCTTGGGGGATCTTCTGAGTCAGGCAGAGAGGGGCCCAATGTACAGTCAGCAACTTGATTCTCTCCCTCCATCCCCTGCAGTTCCTGGCAAACCACAGTAACCCTGGGGCGGTGCTTTTACTGCCTTTCGTTGTGTCCTGCATCAACCTGGTCGTGCCTCGCTTCTACTCCATGTTCAGGCTGGTGGAGCGCTACGAGATGCCGAGGCACGAAGTCTATACCCTCCTGATCCGGTAGGTGTGGCTGTCACTCCTTACTCCAGCCTCCATTTTCACGGAGGGAAGTGGGATGGAAACTAGAAAGGGTTACACTCAAGTATCAAAGTTCTGTTTTTCAGAGAGAATTTCAATAATAGATATGTTTTTATGGTATGAGTTACTAGTCATAAAATCCAAAGAGCCCCGAAGGAATACAATAATTGGGTACACCTGCCCTTTGTTTAAAGTAATAGCTTATCTTTCCCAGATAAGCTTTCCCAGTAATGGCTTATCTTGCTGCCAGCTTGAGGAGCATGGTTCTGTTATGAGATGTATGGGCGGGTAGGTTGCGCACTGCACAAATGTTCTTGGCTAAGACGTCATGTGGGAACTGATCATCCAGAGTTCCCATGAGTCTGACTATGAGGCTGAGTACCCACTGAATCAGCCCGGAGGAACAGGTTCATTTCTGTCATTTAACCATCTAAATGGTTGGTTGGAGGGGGAAGTTGAAGTTGAGGGGATGCTTTTGGCGATTAATTGGCTGGGAAAGGATCCCTTTTTGTGATTCCCAGAAAGGCATTGTATGTGCTAGAGGTGACCCCCACAGTCTTGAAAAAGTATAAAGCTATCCAAATTGTTTTCTTTATTGCTTCTTCTTGGCTAGTACCCTGACCACTTCCTGGTTATGGTGGTGTTTATAGTGATGAGGCTGAACTACCAGATTGACTTTTTTGTACTGATCAATTTCAGAGTCCTTACTTTACCATTGCCTCTGGGAGCTGGCTCCTGGTCAGTTCTTCAGTTTTATTTTCTACCTCTTTCCCCTTCCTCAGTGACCCCAGCCTCACTCGCCTTCTCATTGTTCACAAGCTGTATGCCCAGCTCAGCACCTTTCCACTGGCCATTCCTTCTTCCTGGAATAGCACATCTATACTTATGTTTATGCTTATAGTTTCTTCATACAAATCTTAAACATTTCTATTACCCTTAAATTTGTAACAAGCATGTTTTAAACACACACACACACACACACATATATAATTATTATTTTAGATCAGGAGTTAGCAAACAACAGCCTGCAGGCCCAGTCTGCCTCCCATTTTCATAAATAAAGTCTCATTGGAATGCAACCATGTCCACTGGTGACATATCATCTATGACTCCATTCCTGCTACAACTACAGAGTTGGGACACAAACTGTATGGTTTCCAAGGCCAAAAATATTACCTGTCTGGCCCTTCACAGAAAATGTTGACTGACTTCAGGTTAATGTTTAGAGTTATCTATACAAGTATTAGATAGATAGGTCCAGAGTTCATTTTTATTTGAAGAGCTATGAACCGTAAGGAATAAAAGATGATGTGTGCGTGCTAAGTCACCATATTCATGTCTGACTCTTGGCAACCCTATGGATTGTAGCCCACCAGGCTTCTCTGTCCATGGGATTCTCCAGGCAAGGATACTGGAGTGGGTTGCCATGCCCTTCCTCAAGGGCATGTAGGAAATGGCACTCCACTCCAGTATGTTCTTGCCTGGAAATTTCCATGGATGGAGGAGCCTGATGGGCTACAGCTCTTCGGGTTGCATACTCAGACATGAGGGAGCCCTGAGCACATATAGATACAAGTATTATTTTCCTGAAGAAAAAAATTTTAGAAAGCCTTCCTTTCTACCCACACAACACCTCTGGGCGCCTCCTCTCAATGGTTAGAAACAATTGGGATATTTTTTATTGTGGTTTAAAAAAAATTTAAACCATTTTCAGTGCACAGTTCAGCAGCACACTGGCTTCTCTGCTCACCAGGGTCTGTTAAACGTATCCTACTTACAATGTCCTCCTTTTGTGAGAGACGATAAGACGTTATTTTAGAGTAGATCTTGGGATGGTCAACTTTTTAAGTACTTCCAGGTTCCCACATATTTTTAATTTTGCCTTTCTATTTGAATGTCGATTTGCATGGGCCAAAGACTCCATATTCTAACCACCTCTTCTGAGGTCTACAGGTATGGCTTTGAGGGTTTCTGACATCTGGCATCACCAAACAATCACCCCTTTGTTCTTTCCAGACACTTTGTATCTGCTGTCTCTAAGTTCCAGGCGTCTTCAGAACTACCACCACCTCTGAGGCAGTCTTCTCCCAAATTTGTTTTAAATTGGGTTTTCTCCAGTCTTCTTCACTGACCCCTTTTCATATTTTAATCTTTGTGCCCTTTATTTCTGCTTTCTATTTTCCATAAATTCCTCTATATTTCTGGTCTGTTCATGATGACTTTTTTGTTTTCCACTGCTTTATGGATCTTTAGCTTTTGACTTTTTTTTTTTTATCATTTCAATAGAACTTGAATATAGAGGTGATAGGTTCAGTATGATAGGTAATAGGCCGCAATGCTCAGCGTGTCATTTTGATCTAATCACTTTATTTAATTTGCATTTTTCTGATCCCAAGAGAAATTCATTATCTTTTAATATATATTAGCCCTATGTGTTGCTTCACAAAATATTAAAAATCTTCTCTATATGGAGAGAAAATAAGAAAGCGCAGAAATAGGTTTAACCTGGAGTTACACTGCAGTTAATGTATTTAAGGTCTGACACCAGTTCTGACATGTGGTGTTTTCCCACACCACCAAGTCATTCTCCAATACACGCAGATGGGTGTCCCACAGTTTAATTCAGCTCTGACACTATGTACCTGAAGGGAGAGTCAGAATCCCACAGGGTAAGGCTCAGCGCCACAGGACTGCCCCCACCTCCTTTTCTGGTACCAGTCACAAACCCACATTGTCCCCTGGGCTTCTGACCAACCAGCTACAGACAGGAGGTTCCAATGACCCCCTCCTCAGGTTTGAGAATTTGCTAGAACAGCTCACATGACTCAGGGAAACACTTTACTTATGAGATTACTGCTTTATTATAAAAAGCTATAACCCAAGAACAGCCAGGTAGAGGAGATGTGTAGGGCAAAGTCTGTGGAATGTGGAGCTTCCTTGCCCTTTCTGAGATTTTCAGTCTCCCAAATACCATCCTGTCAATAAGCCAGAAGCTCACAGAACCCCCTCCTTTTGAGTTTTTGTGGAGGCTTCATCACATATGCGTGGCTGATTAAATGGCCGCTGGTTCTGCCTGTGATTAGTAGCTCAGTCGTGTCTGACTCTTTGCAACCCTGTAGACTGTAGCCTGCCAGGCTTCTCTGTCTATGGGGATTCTCCAGACAAGAATACTGGAGTGGGTGGCCCTGCCCTCCTCCAGGGGATCTTCCCAACTCAGGGATCGAACCCAGGTCTCCTCCATTACAGGCAGATTCCTTACCCACTGAGCCATCAGAGAAGTCCAGTAAATTCCATCTCCAGCCCCTCTCTCCTCCCTGGAGTCTGCAATAGGCATGCTGAGTTCAGATCCTCTAAATCACAGGATTGGTTGTCACGGCAACCGGGCCCTGACCTTAGTAGACCTAGGGGCTTCCCAACAGTCACATTAATATAACAAAAGACACCTTGATAGCTCTCCTCACTTAGGAAATTCCAAAGGTTTTAGGAGCTCAGTGCCAGAAAAGGACAAGAAGACCAAATGCATATTTCTTATCATAAATGATAATATCACTGTACAGTAAGACATTAATCCAGTAGATATTGAGAGTCTACTAGAGGCTAGGCATGGGTAAGAGATTTGGGATCTAGTGTTGAAAAAGGCAAATCCTGTCCCTTCCTTCACTGTGTTGTTGTTTTGTCTAATGGTTCTCAACCTTTAACCTGCACCAGAATTGCCTGGAGGGATTGCTGGGCCCTAGACCAGAGTGTCTGATTCAGAAGATCTGGGAGACGGCCAGAAAATTTGCCTTTCTAACAAGATTACAGATGATAGTGCTGGTCTGCGGACCATACTTTGAAAACGACTGGTATATTGGTACATGGTTCTTGGCACATCAGTGCTGAAGATCTCTTAACACTAGCGGTTATTGATTTAGGCAAAGCGACTAGGTTTAAGAACTCAGGCTGTTAAATCAGGTGGTCCTTGTTTTCAACCTTTGTCATGCCCCTAAGCAATCCGTGTGATCTTGTACAAGTTATTTCATCTCTCTGTGCTTCAGTTTCCTCATCAGTAAGACGGGCATAAAATACTATCTACCTGATGATAGAGCTAGAATGATTAAGAGGGATGATGCGATAAAGTGTGTAGCATGCTTACTGTCCCTGGTGGCACCTGATGAATAGTATGTATGTATATTATACTACTATTGCGGTGATAAGTGAAATCAGATAGTTTGAATATGCCCAAAAGAGAGTGTATCAGTCAGAATAAACAAGGTTAAACTGTGGTAACAAATGTCTGTGCAACCCCCATCCCCACTCCACACTCACAGTGGTTTAGAACACAAGTATTTATTTCTTGTTCATGTTGCACGCCCTTGTGGATTGGCAGGGAAATTCTGCTTATGTTAGTTACTCAGGGATTCAGGCTGATTGTCATTCTGGAGGGAAGATGGTAAGTCTCACTGGCATTTAAATACTCTAGTCTAGAAGTGACACAGGGTGACACGCATGGTTTTTTGGCTTTGACCATCAGGGAGGAATTGAGTTTCTCCAGTTTCTGCCTATGATGTTACAGTAGATACCATTTTATTTTTCCCAACCATCTGTCCATCTACTTACCCCTCGATTCATCTATCCATCCATCCGTCTATTCACCCTTCCATCCTTCCTCCATCCTTGGGCTTCCTACAGAAGTAACTAACTCCAAAAACTAACCATTTCAACCTTCCTGTTTGTGCCAGTCTGCTACACCTCTAGGCCACTTTCTTAATCAAGAAGATACAAATTATTTTAAAATTATTGAAAGTCTGAAAACCATAGAAACAGGAAACTTAAAGAACACTGAGCAAGAGAACACCCAAAGAAAGAAGTAAATAAATTAAAAATTAAAAAAACTCCAACTTGGCACCTCAGATAGCATCACAGAAAACTAACAACAAAGAGCAAGCCTTAAAAAAACTAGAATATTTCTTAAAACTTTACCTATAGAGGATAAAGAATAGGAAAATGCAGGGGGTTACTTTTCATAGTACTCAAAAATTATTTTTTGAGGGTCTAGGACAATTCTTAAGTGTTGAAATAAAAAATACACCAATCAAGATTTCCATATCTGATTAAACTATCCCTCAAAAGTGAAACAGAAATAAAGACCTTCTCAGAAAAACAAATACTGCGGGAAATCATTTCCAGCAGACCTCCCAAACAAGAAAGGTTTAAAGAAGTCCTTTAGACAGAGAAAAAAAAGATATAAATCAGAAGCTTCAATATAAATAAAGAAAAGGAACATGTCAGAGAAAGTATAAATAAAAGTAAAATTAAAAAAAAATTTTTAAAGATATTGACTTTTCACAAGGTTAATAAGCAAAAGGAATGGAGGCAATATTAGCCATTGACACCTCCTGCTCTTCCTGGCTTAAAAAAGCAGGATCCAGAGGGCATAGGACAAAGATGAAAAGTGTTAAGGAGGAGAGATAGTGAGATGGGAAAGTCTGGGTACATGAGGAGGGCAAGCCTTAATGGAGGAAGAAGGCGCACAGAAAGATAATAAACATTCAAAAATAAACTCAGCCTAGAGATGCATTTCTGATGGGAGTGGGTCTGATTTTCTGCACACTCCAAGGCTCGATCAAACTAAGCTGCCAACTCCATTCTTATGAGACTCGGCGGGGGGGGGAGCAGGAACAGATGGCAGCAGCCTCCTCCCACACCCCAACTCTTGTTTGCCATTGCTTTCCAGTGTTGGGAAACCCTCATTGGCCAAGAAATCTACCGGCTCCTGCTGATGGATTTTCTGTTCTCTTTAGCTGATTCCCTCCTGGGGGAGTTTCTGAGAAGGTAAATATTTGTCTGTCTTGAGTAATTAGCACCTGCTGTTGTAACCAGAGCCATAGCGTTGGCTGAGCGGGAAGTATGGGTCCCTTCTGTATTCTAAGTGTACATTGTTCTAAGTCTGCCTATTGTCCATAGGAATATTGTTTTCTTCTGAATTAACTGAAATTTCACCTTGACAGTTCTGTTGTCAAAGTTCATTTAGTTCAACTGGCCCTTTATAAGCTCTGAGAAAGAAAGTTCTATAAATGAAACACAGAAAGTGAGTCATTTGAAATCGTATCTACCATAGATACCATTTTAATCTTCTAGTGTATGTATATTCTTCCAGATTTTCTATGCACGTCCTGTTTTGTGTGTGTGTGCATGTGTGCGTGCTAAATTGCAAAACTGCTATGGAGATTATACAGTGAGAATTCCTTGTCATCTTTCCATGTTTGTATCTATAGATTTATCTCATTGTTTTCATTGAATTTAATTAATGCATTAATTTTTAATTTAGACCCCAAGGGTGCAGGATTGGGGCAATATCATCACTGGCCCATGTATGGTCCTCATTTATTTATGCATTTATTTTATAATAATATTATGGGCATCTCATTCCTAATAGACATTTATGTATTTCACAAGCTGCCATGGTAATAAGATGGCATGACGTAATGCTGATTCCTTCCTCAGTGGGTTGAATGCCAAATTTCCTCACTCAGTCTCCTCTAACTCACGTTTAGTTCAGCCTCTGTCCAGAGTCTGGACATAAAGGTGAGAAAGTTTTTGTTGTTGTTATTTTGTTTGTTTGTCTTTTATAGCAGGTTTTTTTGGGCAATTCTTCTGTATGAAAAAAAATCAAAGTGGTCTCAACTTTCTTCAGAATAAATGGCAACCTAGGTTTCCTCCTTGTGTATTTAGAAAACAGGGAAACACCATTAACTCAATAGCAGTAACTGAACGTTGAGAATTTTTTAGTTTATTTGGGTTGAGAAGCGCGAGTTTAAATATAGATTTAAACTATGTTAAAATAAAGGTTTAAAAGAAATAAAGATTTAAAAGCAAAAAGTGGTATAAAGAAGATAATAGGTGGGGTAATTTAAATAATCTCATTTAAACAATACCTATTTTAGTAAACCTATTAATAATTAGTTATCTGTTTAAGTAGTAGGTGAGATAATGTAAATAATGTTCTCTAGAAATTTTTGAACCACTTTAGCAGTATCTCCACTTGAATCCTTTGTGTTAATTCCATTTTCCCATAATTCCCTCAATTATTTCTTCTAAAACTTGCTCATACTTGGAACTTTTCAAAAACTTGCAAAAACTTTTCAAAAACTTTTCAAAAACTTGGAATAAAATCATAACTTTATTCCAAACTGGTGAAAGTTTGTCCTCCTTTGTTGATTGTGGGGAATTTTTTGAAGGAGGCAACTGATCGTTTGTGTATTTTTATCATATTTTCACAGAATCATTGGGATGCAGCTTATCAAAAGTCTTGGCTTACCGGAGTTTGACATTGCCAGAAATGTATTAGAACTCATCTATGCACAAACTCTGGTGTGGTAAGTTTTGAAATCTTTGGTTTGCTCAGTGGTTCTCACCTGACTATGAACTTGGAGTTTTGGTGGCAATGCCCAGAATTTGTTGTTTTTCAAAGCTGCACAGGTGATACCAAATCTAGCCAGTCTGAGGACCATGCATTCGTGTCCCAGAATATTCTCTTCCTTTATGAGGATTTCAGCCAAGAATTGACACGGAGCAGGGACCCCAACCTGAAGGGCAATCTGGATAAACTTGGATTGTGGGGCTGGCTCTTCTACTCATTGAGGTCACTGAACTTCTCTGAGCCTCAGTCTCCTCATCTGTCAAATGCACATAATAAGAGCTGCCTTCGACTTTGTTGACGATTAAGTCAAGTGATATAAGAAATCTGCTCTGCCATCTCAAATAGGCCATACAACTGTAAAGCGCCTTATTTTCCAACTCTTTAAAGTTGCCCTGGGTGATTTGGCTCTCTGCAAATAACTCAGTAATGTCAATGAGTTTATTTTCGGAGGTGGTGAAGACTTTTTCTTTGTGTCGTTTAGGTGGTGCATTTGCTTACTGCCAGGACGCCACTGGCTACTGGACAGTTTACAAAGTCCTTTTACCCAGTGAATAGGATGCCACTGGGCAAGTTATACATAAACTCCCTCTAAACCTGAGTTTTCTAATCTGTTAATGGGGGAAATAGTAGCATCTACGTTATAGAATTTTGATGAGGATTAAGTGAGAAAATGCATGCATTAAGTGCTTGGCGAGTAACTGACTCAGAAATGTTTATAGGTAGGGATATTATATGACTGTTGTTATCTTTTTAAGGGCTCTTTTTTTAAATTTGTAGTACAAAACACATAACCTAAAATTTACCATCTTAACCAGCCTTCCTATTTTGTTTGGCTTGTCTATCACTGGACTGTTTTTAACTTCATTTTCTCTTTTATGTTGAGTGCTTTTTATAAACTTGAATACATTTTAATGAGTCTTTATTTTATCATCATCAATGGAAAATTATATCATTTGACTTAAATTGCAAGTCATTTGAAAAATAAAATCAAACCCATCATAAAAAGTAAAATTCTAGCTAGATGCTGCTATCAAGGCTCTCAATCTAAACACTGCCTCTTTTTTTTTTTTTTTAAAGGAGGTTGGCAAGTATTAGGACTTAAAGACATTAGTACCCAAGCTGAGATTTTCTTTTGGCCTCAGCAGCACTGGGGAGAGTTAAAGAGGGAGGGCCCTTCTCATTTGTAACAATGCAGTTTAATGCCTGTCCTGGAAGGACTTCAGGCCTTCTTGAATGCCAGATGAGGAGGCGGAGTTCACATCCCACATTTGGAACACCTGGGTGAGGGCTGCCCAAAGGCCATCTNACAATGCAGTTTAATGCCTGTCCTGGAAGGACTTCAGGCCTTCTTGAATGCCAGATGAGGAGGCGGAGTTCACATCCCACATTTGGAACACCTGGGTGAGGGCTGCCCAAAGGCCATCTAGGGGTTTAACTAATGGCCGTGTGGGTAACGTTCTCTGCAGAATCTCTTTCCTAGAGCTGTGGATTCTGGATATGGTAGGGATTTGCCGTGTTGGAAGCAGTCCCCTTCTGTATGAGTTTTCTAGGGCTTTGATAATAAAGTACCACAGGTACTTTAAATTGTGGCTATTTATTAAACAATAAACCGCACAAATTTATTTTCTCACATTTCTGGAGGCTTGAAATCCAAGCAAGGTGTTGGCAGGGTTGACTTCATCTGAGGCCTCCATCCTTGGCCTGAAGATGGCGCCTTCACCCTGTATCCTCACATGGTCTTCTTCCCTCTGTGTCTGTTAGGGCCCACGTGAGGTTAGTGACCTCATTTTACCTTAATTATCTCTTTTAAGGCCCTATCTCCAAACACATTCTCAGGTATTGGGGTTAGGACTTCAACATGTGGGTTTGGAGGGGACACATTGCAGCCCGTAACACCCTCGCCCTTCCCCCCACCCCCGTCATTAACCCATTCCCTGCGCCTTCCCTGATCTCTGATGCTCATCCCCACTCTCTCATAGGATTGGAACCTTCTTCTGCCCTCTGCTGCCCTTTATCCAAATGATTACTCTTTTCATCATGTTTTACGTCAAAAATGTGAGTCAGTCTGAAGCTGGAACCAATTGGCTTTGCTGTCCTGTATGACCCAGTGGTGGCTGGAATGGGGCAGGGGGCCTGGGAAGGGTATCAGGGAACTGGTGTCTAGCTGGGGTCCCCTTGGCCTGCTCCTCTGGCTGCACAAGGGAGGTGACTGCATCTCTTTCTTCAGATCAGCCTGATGATGAATTTCCAGCCTCCGAGCAAAGCATGGCGGGCCTCGCAGATGATGACTTTCTTCATCTTTCTGCTCTTCTTCCCATCCTTCACTGGGGTCCTGTGCACCCTGGCCATCACCATCTGGAGGTAGGAGATGGCAGCCTTGGAGGAGGGGGTGTTTTAAAATGTAGGTTTTATTATTCTTCAGGTATAGTAAGACCAACAGATAAGAAGACAACTGTCACTGAAAAAATAATTAGTCAAGAAGCAACAGTTAGAACCAGACATGAAACAACGAACTGGTTCAAAATNAAGTGAAAGAGGAGAGTGAAAAAGTTGGCTTAAAACTCAGCATTCAGAAAACTAAGATCATGGCATCTAGTCCCATCACTTCATGGCAAATAGGTGGGGAAACAATGGAAACAGTGAGAGACTTTATTTTCTTGGGCTCCAAAATCACTGCAGATGGTGACTGCAGCCATGAAATTAGAAGACAGCTTCTCCTTAGAAGAAAAGCAATGACCAACCTAGAGAGCATATTAAAAAGCAGACAAAAGTTCAAATAGTCAAAGCTATGATTTTTCCAGTAGTCATGTATGGATGTGGGAGTTGGACCATAAAGAAGGCTGAACACTGAAGAATTGATGATTTTGAACTGTGGTGCTGGAGAAGACTCTTGAGAGTCTCTTGGACAGCCTCTCTCTTTCTTCCATTAGGGTGGTGTCATCTGCATACCAAGTTCCCTTGGTAACCAACAGATGCTATGACCTAGGGATTAATATATCCAAGTTTGGTCACCACCTGTCAGGTGCCCCGTCTTGACTGGCACAGCCCCCTCACTTCCTCCAGGTCGTGCAGGTTCCCAGCTGGGGAGAAGCCAAGTCTCCACACAGAGAACAGAATGTCCTCTAATGAACTGAAAGGCCCGTCTGGTCAGGCTTCTTCTTACCCCTCCAACCTCACTTTCATTTTCTTGATGAGAGCTATAACCAACCTCAGTTCAGTCCAGTTCAGTCGCTCAGTCGTGTCCGACTCCTTGCAGCCCCACAGACTGCAGCACGTGAGGCTTCGCTGTCCATCACCAACTTTCAGAGCTTGCTCAAACTCATGTCCATCAGGTCAGTGATGCCATCCAACTGTTTCATCCTCTGTCGTCCCCTNTTAATTGTACACTCACTGTTTGACCATCTTTCCCATTAGAACCTGGGAGGGCAGGTATCATGTCTGCCCTGTTTACTGTGGGTTCGCGAGGGCTTAGTATCTAGCACAGTGCCTGCTACTGATCTCGAGGAGACAGCAGTGAGTGGTAGCTTGAAGCAGGATCTTAGTTCCCTGCCCAGGAATTGAACCTGGGTAGCCTGGGTGAAAAGCAGAAATCCTAGCTGTTAGACTAGCAAGGGCTAGAGGCTAGGAGCAAAGTTCCCCTGGCTCTCGTCATGTTTGAAAGCAAGAATGTTTTAAGGAGGCAAAAACTATAAAAATACAGTTTTTTCCTACCAAAAAAAAAAAAACTGTACAAAGTTTATTATTAGAGATGCAGTACAGTAAGTGGGAGTGCACACAGAGAAACATTTTTTTTTAATTTAAGATAAAGGCAGGCAGAGATACATACATGGAGAGAAAGGGTGTGAGCTTCCTCCAGTAAAGAGGAGGTTAAATCATTTATATAGGGCATTTTTTCTGGGTCTTTGTTTACCTTTGGCCAATTATCTTATTTCTTTTTCTATACCTCACCTGCCCTGGGACTTTCCCCAACATGCGTGCGCACCTTTTAGGCAAGATGGATTCCAGCATAGAGGCCTGTGGGAGGCTTGGCATCACCTATTATGGGGTGGTGCCCCCTCCTTTTTAACCCCAAGGAGCCTTCTGCAGATGTGTGGTTGGGGAGGTCTCCTTGACCTCAAGAATGAGAAAATGTGGTCTCTTTATCTTTTATCTGGGCAAGACTCAGCTCCTATCTGCCTTTGCCATTGCGTGTGTGCTAAGTCACTTTAGTCGTGTCCTACTCTTTTGGGATCCTGTGGACTGTAGCCCGCCAGGCTCCCCTGTCCATGGGGATTCTCCAGGTGAGAGCACCTGGAGTTGCCATTTTCTTTTCCAGCCCTTACCATTATTGTTCTCTTAAAGTATCCACTGGAGACAAAGTCCAGGTATTTACCCTGTTGCTGTTGTTATTCTATCTGGATGTGTAAACAGAAGGCTGAGTGTAAATGTCTCACCTGGAGCCCATCTGTGTCTTGTCTCGAGAAATATAAACAGGAGGCTAGTTGTAAATGTCTAGCCTGGAGCCCATCTATCTCCTGCCTCAGTTACAAGTGCAGTGGGCCTTTGTCAAATGAATAAGCAAATGAATGCACAAGGGAGTTGACTTTTAGTTCAAGTTCCTAAGGAAGAGAGTCCTATCGCCCCAGTTCATTTCTTTGTGCCAGGACATGGCTGAGGTCACAGCCTGGTCTTTGGATGGGTGACAGTTGGATCAAGTGATACTGCTGTCCAAAAGCTGGTCCTCAGAATAAGGTCATGAGGACAAAACACGCCGGCTAGGCCTGTGAGAGAGAGGGCTTGCTTTGGAAGGGGATGTAGATGGAGCAGGTAAGGATCACTGGTTCCAGGTTAAGAGCCCAGAAAGGACTGGGCTATTCTAGAAAAACTATACCTGAGTCTGGCACTAGAGATGTTCCCCTGTCCCTTGTTTTATCAGATTGAAACCTTCGGCTGATTGTGGTCCGTTTCGAGGTCTGCACTTCTTCATTGAGTCCATCTACAGCTGGATCGACACCCTGAATAAAAGGCCCAGCTACCTGTGGGTTGTTTGGATCTACCAGAACCTCATCGGGAGCGTGCATTTCTTCTTTATCCTCACCCTCATTGTCTTGTAAGTGGGGTTCTTCTGAAAACTAGAGGGGGAAATACCGCATCAACTCAGCATGTGGGCAGCTAGGCTTGGGCGGGGCGGGTGTTTGGTGGGAAGGCGAAGGCTGCAGCGTAGCTCAGTGTTCTGTGCCATCCCAACTCTGCCCTTGAATTTTTCTAGAAGTTATTTAATATCTTGTCCCTTTTTTGGGGTCTGTTTATGAAAAAAGGAACACCTGCTCTGCCCCCTCTTAAGAATTAACATGAAAACAAAAAGAAAAAACTGGGTGTGAGAATACTTAGGGAAATTACTGTGTCATTCTTTCTGAGGTTGTGACTATATTAAAGTGGGTTAGGTGTTATGGATATATGGGTTAGCATACTTTCATTTTCAAATTTTAAAATGATTTCTAACTTCTTGTGAAAAAGCGGAAGATCTGCCAAGACTGGACTCCTTTTCCTGCAGGAACAGTTGGTCTGCTGACGGCTGCTCCTCTTTAGAAGCCAAATTCTGATGGCTGAACTTGTCTGTCCTCATGTAGGGACACAACTCAACATCACAGACTAGTGGAGCCAGCTGATGCCAATTGTTGAGTGACCCCTGGATCTTACAGGTGGAAGTGAGAAGCCTTGCAGAGACAGGGATAGTTCCCATGCTGTAGAGTCTATTTATTGTAGAGGAGGCTGGAACCTGAGTCTCCAAGCTCTTGGTCATGCTCTCCCTCCCAACACTGGTTTGCCTTTAGCTCCCCTACTTAAAATAGGAAGTTCTTCTGTCTTGCTCTTCCAAACTTTTAACTCCCTGGGGAGCTTGTGAGAAATGCAAACTCTCAGACCCTACCCTGACCTATAGCATCTGCATTTTAACAAAATCCCAGGAAGTCTGTACCACAGGGAAGTTTGAATAGCACTGTCCATATTCCCAAACTCTGGTTACACATTAGAATCATATACATGAAAAAATACTGCTCAGGAGTTCCCTGGTGGCCTAGGGGTATGGATTCTGGGCTTTCACTGCTGTGCCCAGGTTCAGTCCCAGGTGTGAGAACTGAAATCCCACAAGCCAAGCAATGCGGCCAATAAATAAATAAATAAAATAAGTTTAAAATACTGTTAAGGACTTCCCTGGTGGTCCAGTGGTTGGGAATCTGCCTGCCAGTTCAGGAGACACAGGTTTGATCCCTGGTCTGGAAAGATTCCAAATGCCTTGGGGCAACAAAGCCTGTATGCCACAAGTACTGAAATCCGTACTCTGCAACCAGAAGCCATTGCAATGAGAAGCTTGTGCACCGCAACTAGAGAGAAAGCCTTTGTGCAGCAACCGAGACCTAACGTAGTCAAAAATAAATAAACTTGTTGTTTGTTGTTGTTTAGTCCCTGCGTTGTGTCTGACTCTTTTGTGACCCCAGGGACGGTAGCCTATCAGGCTTCTCTGTCCATGGGATTTCCCAGGCAAGAATACTGGAGTGGGTTGCAATTTCCTTCTCCAGGGGATTGTCTGGATCCAGGGATTGAACTCAGATCTCCTGCTTGACCAGAAGATTCTTTACCAATGAGCCACCAGGGAAGCCCCCAAATAAATAAATAATAATAAAAATACTGTTAAATGTTTTCACCACAGAAAAAGAAATAATAATCCTGTGACATGAGGGAGTGTTAGCTAACACCATGGTGGTAATCATATTGCAATATATAGATGTGTCAAATCAACACCTTAATGTTATATGTCAATTCCATCTCAAAAAAATTAAAGTAAAACTAGACTGGGGTAAAGTTTGTATAACTATATGAATTAACTAAAGCTCATTGAACTACACTCAAAATGAGTACATTTTGTAGTATGTCAACCATGCCTCAATAAAGCAATAAAAAGAAGGAAAGATACCTGATACCTGTCCTCATGCTCAAAAAAGCTCGATTAATTGATCTGAGGAGGGGCCACGGCAGGAGTCTTTTCTCCACCTCTCAGGTGATTTATGTATAGAATCCTGAGAACTATTGCTATAATGAAGTTAACCTCTAAGTCACTCAGATACAACTTTGCAGGAACACTGGCTGGGCCAACATCCATCTGTAAGCAAATAAACGAATTCCTAAACGAGTTGATACCCAGTTGAAATTAGGAGCCTGCAAAGCCTTGGAGAGGGTGTCAGCCATTCTTTCTTTCCTGCAAAGCATTGGAGAGAGCATCTGCCATTCTTTCTTTTCTTCTCTTCCAGAATCATTACTTACCTTTACTGGCAGATCACAGAGGGAAGGAAGATTATGATAAGACTGCTCCATGAACAGATCATTAACGTAAGTCCCATTGGACACCTTTGTTACCCTGACCACCTTTAACATTCTATAATGAAATTTTTCAAACATTATCCAATATAGAAAATAGTAGAATGAACCTTCCCACCACTCCGCCCTGACCACCATCAACATTTGTGTACTCTCATGTCCTCTATACTGTCCCTTTGCTATAAATCTCTGAATTATTTTCAAGCAAATTGTAGCCTTTATATCATTTTATCTGTAGACTCTTCCATACACCTAAGAGATACACACTAAAACAAATAACCACAGTACCAATCATCACACCTAAAAAAATAAATAATACCTTACTATCATCTTACAGTCAGTCAAAGGCCAAATTTTCCCCAGTTGTCCGGTTAATGTCTTTTTACAGCAGGATTACTCAAGTAAAAAGTCTGGAAAATAATACCTTACTATCATCTTACAGTCAGTCAAAGGCCAAATTTCCCCAGTTGTCCGGTTAATGTCTTTTTACAGCAGGATTACTCAAGTAAAAAGTCTGGGAAAGTGTCACATGTTGCATTTGGTTGATGTGTCTTTAATGCTTCTTTCAATCTCTAACTTTTCATACCTCCCTCTTCTCTTGCCACTTATTGTTGAAGAAACCAGGTCATTTATCATGCAGCAGTTTCCTCATTCTGGATATATCTGAGTTTCAACCCTGCAGTGGTGTTTAATAGGTTTTGGTTTTTTGTGTGTGTGTGTATTTCCTGTAAATGAATGGTGAAATTTAAAAACCTGATTAAGCCCAGATTAAATTTTTTAGTCAGAATAATTCATAGGTGATGCTTTAAGTCAATATTTCTAATGGTATTGCCTCATAACATAAAATGTCTGATTGTCTCCTTTTTTGTATGTGAAGAACGATCGGTGGGTCCATGCTTGGTCAGCTAATCTATCCATAAAGCTTCCCAGCAGTCTTTCACCTAATAGATCTAGCAGCCTTTGATGAGTATAGTCCATAGGGTTGCAAAGAGTCAGACACGACTGAAGCGACTCAGCATGCATGCATGCCTTTTTATTCATTGTCCATTTATTTCATTAGGGATTGCAAAATAGTGGTACTCTAATTCTAGAATTTCTTCTGCATTTATTAGTTGGAATTCCTCTATAAAAGAAGAATTTTTACTCATCAACTGTTAGAGCACCTTCAAATACCTTCAGGAGAGGAAAGATGAGGTTAAATACATGACTCCCTTTATTTACCTGTTTTCAAAATGATGATTCGTTCCTCCAGTGTACTCGTTTGCTAGGGCTGCAAAGCAAAGTACCACAAATGTGGCAGCTTAAAACGGCAGAGATGTATTGCCTCGTGGTTCTGGAGGCCGGAAGTCCAAAGCCAATTTGTCAGCAGGGTTGTTTCCTTCCGAAGCTCAGAGCAAGAGTCTCCTCCCTACCTCATTTTTTCTGGTGGCTGCTGACTAACCTTTGCGTTTCTTGGCATAACTTCATAACTCCCATCTCTGCCTTCATCTTCACAGGGTCTTTTTCTCTCTTTGTCTGTTTCTCCTTGTTGCCTAAGGACTTCTCATTGAATTTAAGGTTCATCCTCATCCACGATGATCTCATAAAAAAAAACAAAAAACCTTTAATTTAATTACATCTGCAAAGACTCTATTTCCAATAAAGTTATATTCACAGGTGGTGGGGTTTGAATAAGAATATCTTAAACATATCTTTAAAAAACAGAGACACTGTGCTCGCTTCGGCAGCACATATACTAAAAACGGAGACACTATTCAACTCACTAAACCTAGAACCTCCAAATGTGGCCAATGAGAAGTTATCATTATGAATTCGTAGATTTAAGTATATGTTGGCATCTTTCAATTGTAATCATTTGTTTATGCTTAAAATAGTCTCATCCTTTGCTAGAGGAAATCCTTTTGAATTAGCTCCTCAGTTCTTTTGACATGATCCCAGGAGTCTTTGGTTTCTTCCTTGTTCTCTGGAAAGATAAGATGGTCTGGACTCATCTTGTTTGTTTCCTGTCCCAGAATAGGAATTAGGCATTTCTTCAAGGAGTCCTGATCAAATGGTATTTAGAGATCAAAGTTTGGACACAGAGAGATGGTCATTGCTACTGGGCTAGTTCCCTTTTCTTCTAAATATCAACATAACTGTGACATGAGCACTTATGTCTGAAAATATGAGGAAGCAGCAGGACACTATAGGAGTCTCTCTGCTTGACTCTTTGGGGCTTCAGATCACTTGAGTTGGCACATTTTGTATTGTAAAGAAAGAGCATTGGTTAGCTGTTAATGTTGTCAAGTTGCTAAATTGTGTCCTACTCCTTGCAACCCCATGAACTGCAGCACACTTGGCTTCCCTGTCTTTCACTATATCCTGAAGTTTGCTCAAATTCTTATCTATTGACACACTGATTCTAACCATCTCATCCTCTGCTGCCCCCTTCTCCTTTTGTCTTCAATCTTTCCCAGCATCAGGGTCTTTTCCCATGAGGTGGCTCTTCATATGAGGTGGCCAAAGTTTTGGAGCTTCAACTTCAGCATCAGTCCTTCCAATGAATATTCAGGGTTGATTTTCCTTTAGGACTGGCTGCTTTGCAAGAAGGCTTGTGGTCCAAGGGACTCTCAAGAGTCTTCTACAGCACCGCAATTTGAAAGCACCAATTCTCAGGGACTCAGCCTTCTTCATGGTCCAACTCTCACATCCATACATGATTACTGGAAAAACCATTTGACTATATGGACCTTTGTTGGCAAAATGATGTCTCTGCTTTTTAATATGCTGTCTAAGTTTGTCATGGGGCTTCCCAGGTAGCTCTAGTGGTAAAGCATCTGCCTGCCAATGCAGGAGAGACATAAGAGATTGAGGTTTGATCCCTGGGTCAGGAAGATCCCCTGGAGGAGGGCATGGCAACCCACTCCAGTGATCTTGCCTGAAGAATCCCATGGACAGAGGAGCCTGGTGGGCTATGGTCCATAGGATCACATAGAGTCAGTCGCAACTGAGCCCGCACACATGCTAGATTTGTCATAGTTTTCCTTCCAAGAAGCAAGCGTCTTTTAATTTCATGGCTGCAGCCAATATCCGCAGTCATTTTGGAGCCCAAGAAAATATAATCTGTCACTGTTTCCACTTTTTCACCTTCTATTTGCCATGAAGTGATGGGACCGGATGCCATGATTCTTAGTATTTTTGATGGGTTTGTTAGCTAAGCCCTTTTCCCACCTGTCCCCAGAAGCATTACCCATAGTTTTCTGATGCAACATTGAATGTTTGGGGCAAGTCTTATGAAGATTTCAGCGTGGGAGGGATTTGATGTTAAAGCTTTCTGTTTTAAGAGTAGTGTCAGGTAAACTCAGGAGTTACTGGGATGACATCATTTCAGGAAGGCACCGTAAACATCGTGCAGACCTGCCTGCTTGGGAGTCTTGCCCGGAATGTGGACCACAAAGATGGGGATGCTGTCTCTAAAAGAACTCAAAGAGAGTGGGAATAGGCTCAGGAACAGTCCTTCTCAAAGTATAATATTCTATGTCAAAACCCCCTGGTCCCTTGTTAAAAATGCAAATTCTTATTACCCTTCCCTCCTCCAAGCAATAGTGGCAACAGATAACATTTTGTTGAGCACTTATTGATGCCTGGCATTGTGCTAAGTGATGAGCAAAGATTCTTATTTAATTTTTACTACTCACTCTATAGCACATTCATTTCTTTAACCTCTATTTTAAAATTAAGGAAATGGATGCTTATAGAGTGAAACAACCTGCCCAAAGTCACAGGGCTAGTAATAGTGGGATTTGAATCAGGCAACTCCAAAGTTTATGCTCTCAGCTACAGTGCAGCTTTGCCTCCTGAGTCAAAATTCTGTTGGGCAAAGCCTATGAGTTTGTAGCCTAGCAATCTCTCCAGGTAATTCTAATTCATACTAGAGTATGAAAACAGTTGCTACAGGCCAGAGATTTTCAAACAAGTTGGCCACATCCAAGACAGCTGGGGAACTTGCTAAAAGTACCAATTACCATGGACCGCTCTTTCTTATGGAAGAATTTCAATTACTAAATGTAGAAGGAATGAGGGAAATAGGTCATTATGAACGAAATACCGCCGTAATAATTGTTGCAAGCAAGATCCACTGGTGGATGCTAAAATTAGTGGGTGGAAGTTTAGGAAGAAACAAGGGCATGGAAAATGGGATTGACCTAGACTGGACAGACCATGAGTGGTGCTTGCTAGCCCACCTCAGCACTCGCTTATCTGTAATAGACTCACAGGAAAAGTGATTCCCCCTTCCTGGGGAAGGCATACCCTATGCGTTTGTTCTCTTTCCCAATTCAGGAATTATTTGTCAGGGTCTACTTTGTTAACACAGATAACTTTTTAAAAAATTTATATATTTATTTATTTCTGGCTGTGCCGGGTCTTCATTGATGTGTGGGATTTTCTTTAGTTGCAGCGAGCAGGGGCTACCCTCTTGCTTCTCATTGCAGTGGGTTCTCTTTTTGTGACTCCCAGTGAAAGGCTGCTGCTGAACCATGAAAGATGCCGGGATTCTTGGCCTCCGGAGGAGAATTCAATCCAGGGCCAGAGACAAGGCTTGATCACTCAGAGCTTTTGTGTGATAGAGTTTTATTAAAGTATAAAAGGGATAGAGAAAGCTTCTGATGTAGACATCAGAAGGAGGCAGAAAGAGTGCCCCCTCGCTAGTGTTAGCGATGGAGTTGTGTACTTTTTAATTACTTATTACAGTGAATCAAAAGAATGTCTGGAGGTTGTAAAGACCTTACTAGACCCACTCCCATAACTGATATTTTAAGAAAACAGGATTAGCCAAAAGGTTTTTTCCAGAGACTGTCCTCAAGCAGGATACATTATTGTTATATAATCCTAAGGAAATGTAGAGGAAAAAAACATTTGTCCTTTATTCCTCCTTGAGAATTCCAGACCCCTCTCTCCTTGGGGACCACTGGACTTCTTATCAACCTGCCTAGGAATTGACTCTCTCACCAGGCTCTGGAGCACAGGTGCAATAGTCGTGGTGCCTGGGCTTAGTTGCTCCGTAGCATGTGGGATATTCTTGGATTGAGGATCGAACCTGCATCTCCTGCATTGGCAGGTGGATTCTTTATCACTGAGCCACCAGGGACGCCCTAACACAGATAACTTTGACAAATGAAATATATTTGATGTTCTTCAATGCAGAGATATAAGCTTTGACATTCTCAGTGGAAGGACAGGGCAGACCCAGGCAATGCTGGGCGCCCAGAGAGTGCTCCAGGGCAAAGGGCGTGCCACGAGGAGGGATGCTATAAACCATTTGTCCTGGGCCCTCTGACAATGGTGTGTAGGTTGCTTCTCGCAGCAGACTAGAGAAAGCTACTACTCAGCCTGCTAGGGTAAAAGCTTTAGAGGAGAATATTACAGTTTAGGAAGGCGATGGGGGGTTAATTTGGTTTTGCTGTGAGATGTTCCTTCTCTCTCATCAATAGTAAACAAGGCAGCAGCCTCCAGCCTCCACAGGGTCCAGGACCCTGGGCTGTGCTGTGCCCCATGGACTGTAGCCCGCCAGGCTCCTCTGTCCATGGGGATTCTCCAGGCAAGAATACTGGAGTGGGTTGCCGTGTCCTCCTCCAGGGGATCTTCCCAACCCAGGGATCGAACCCAGGTCTCCCGCATTGCAGGTGGATTCTTTGCCATCAGAGCCACCACAGAAGCCCAAGAACACTGGAGTGGGCAGCCTATCCCTGCTCCAGGGAATCTTCCCAACTCAGGAATCGAACTGGGGTCTCCTGCATTGCAGGCAGATTCTTTACCAGCTGACTTCCCAAGGAAGCCCGTCGAGGACCCTACCTGCCTAAAAATCAACCTTTCCACCATTTGCTTCTCAACCCCACACCATCATTCATTCTCCATATTTTTGTTTTTGTTTTCCTTCTTGGCAGGAGGGCAAAGACAAAATGTTCCTAATAGATAAGTTGATCAAGCTGCAAGGTATGGAGAAGAGAGCAAACCCCACCTTATTTACGCTGGAAAGAAGAGATTTGGAGGTGAGGCTGCAGGCTGCCTTGGGATCCCTGTGACATGGATGTGCCCTCCTGTGAAAAGTGCAGCAGGAGCTAGAATCACATCTGGGCCCTTCACTTTCTGTGTTTTAACATTTCTTTATTTTTATTTTAAAATATAGTATGCATTCACCATATTCTATGCCTGGCCATGTTCTAGGTAATGTAATATCATGGTAATATCATGGTAACACAGTGAGGCCCTTCCCTCCTGGAGCTTGCATATATCTTTCCATTACCCAGACATACAGAAGTGTGTCCCACTGGGATGAAAAATGCCTTGAAATTTCACTGCACTAGGTTCATGCTTCAGTGTATATTCTTCCAGATCTTTCCCCCAGGCATCTGCACATATCCATACATCTACTAACATTCTTGTTTATTTATTTATTACCAAAATGGGCTATATTTTACACATAATTTCCCCTCTCTCTGCCTAATACTGTATCTCAAACATTCTTTCAGTTTGTACATACTTGGATATTTGGGTTGTTACCAGTTTTTTTTTTAATACTAAAGACAATGTGTAATGAAACATTTTTGTTATAGTTTTTGTATGTGAGTGTTTTATCTGCCTCAAGCATATGCATGATAATGTTAACAGATATTGCCATATCAGGCTCTTAAAAAGGTTTCGCAAATTTTATTCTTACCAAAAGGGTTTGAGAGATCCCTAGAACCTGTTCTAGTACCAAAGCCTGCACTGATACTTCACTGGTATCCTAGAAAATGTGGATAAACAGTAAACCCATGTTAATTCAAATGCTACTACTTTTAGAAGTTATGATCTTGTCCAGAGACTGCTATGTTGTTTATTGTCTGTGCAAATTAATACCATCAGCACGATAAGGGTAAGGGACTTAGAGGCCCAGCTCAAAATCCTATCAAGACAGGGACCGTGACTGTAACTTTGCAGCTGCAGGTCCTAATATATTACCTGGTGGGTTGTAAATGTTCAGTAAATATCTGTGAAATGAAAGACTAAATGAATGGAATCACTGTCCATAAGAAATAAAACAGAACATGTTTGATATTTATGTGACTGAATCTTGACCTTAATCTGTCACCTCTTAATTTTAAAATGGTGGGGCTCGCAAGTCTTATCACCTATGCAACAGGATCTGAGGTCTACACAATTTTCTAGTGATGAGATTTCTTGTTTCCTTCTTTTTTAGCCATGGGGCCCTCTGCATGTCAGGCAACATAATGCTGCTCGAGGTGAGTACCTGACTGGCACTGAAGAAGGTCTGATTCATCCAGATGATAGATCCCAAGACAAAGGGTCAAAACTGCTCCTAGATCCAGTCATTCAGTTGTAAGAACTGGCCCAAACTGGCTTCAGCAAAAACTCGAGAATACTTCTTGCCTTAGGCAGAGCCAGAAGCACAGACTCACAGGATGTCACAAGACCTGGTTTCTTTCTGTTCAGTTCTCCATGTTATCTCCTTTCTCAAATGATCTCTTGATAATTACAAGACAACTTTAATTGCTTCTTGTATCTTCTCAGATTCAAGTCTAGTGGTCAGGAGACCCAGAATTCTCTTTATGTTTCATTTGATCTGATTGGGTGATGTACTCATCCATGAATCAGTTGCTGTGACCAAGAGACTGTGATGACTTAATTGGCCAGATCTGAGTCACAGGCCTCATCTTTAGATATAGGTGGTACAACATAAAGGCCACAGGGACTGAGAGAATGGAGAAAGGTAGTTTTCCAAAGAAAACCTGTGACTGATGCCAGAAGGGGAATGAATATTGGGGAGGAAACGAACAAACCCACTCATCTTTTTGGAATAGCATTTCTGATACCTGCAATGGTGGGAATTCAAGGGGGAAAGTTGAAACTTAAGAGGAGGAAGCAGGGAGAGCCTGAGAAGCTGTGGGATCTTGAAAGCCACTTTAGTCTTTCCCGTGGAGATATGGGCCAGTGTGCATCTGTGCTAACATCTCTTCTCTTGTATCAAACCCAGACCTGCGATTCAGGCGATCATTTCAAGAAGATAATCCAAAGGCCTGATAATTATCATGGTACCCGGATGCCAGCCAAAGAAGGAAAGAAGATAAAGATGGAGCATATTCCTCCATGCCACCTGGGCCTTTATGAGCTTCCCAGATGGGAAATTCAAACCTTTAGCCAGAAGTGGAAATTGACTACAATGTAAATACTGAAGTAAAATTGGGCATTCCTTGTTGGGTTTTTTATACCTGAATTGCTGATTTTTCCAGACAGAATATTTGAGATTTTCCAATAAAGACGGTTGTAGTATTTGAACTAGTTCACAAAAACCTGGGAAGAGTTATAGTTTATCTTTAAGAGCTATGTAATGAATTATTATTAGTCCTTAGAAATCTCCCCTCCCAGTACTCCCAGACCTGGTTTGGAGACTGGTGCTAAGACAAGTGGTCCAGCCTGAATAAAAATGCGATCCTCAATCAAGGATGTGAAGCCTCTGAATTGTGGAACCTGCATTTTTTTCATGACTTAGAACTAAAAATAACCCCATGTTACCCCAAAGTGAAAGGCAACCAGAGGTCTCATCTATGAACTTTGTTGCGTATTGAGTACGAGTCTTTCAGATTGGACTGGGGTGGGGCTGTGTGGACTGGGACTCTGCCCCTGTGAACTTTTATACATGATCATCAGAGTCTTAGGTTGAACCAAAGGAAATCAGTGGTGATGTGTGGAATATATTTGTGTATGTATATGTGTTGTACATATGAATGCATATTCATTGGAAGGACTGATGCTGAAGCTGAAACTCCAAAGCTTTGGTAACCTGATGCAAAGAACTGACTCACTGGAAAAGACCCTGATGCTGGGAAAGATTGAAGGGAGGGGAAGATGGGGATGACAGAGGATGAGACGGTTGGATGGCATCACTGACCTGATGGACATGAGTTTGAGCAAGCTCTGGGAGTTGGTGATGGACAGGGAAGCCTGGTGTGCTGCAGTCCATGGGGTGGCAAAGAGTTGGACACCACTGAACGACTGAACTGAACTGAATGAATGCATAAACATATGAAGTATTCTTTTGCATATTTGCCAAATGATTCACAAGCCATGTGACTTTACCTAAAACTGAAGGGTTCAGGAGAAAAGAGCAATTGCCAAATTACGCCAGAGGAGTGATTTCCTCCTGAGTGATCTCTGTCATGAAATCCAGTTGTAACTGAATTTAGAAAACATCTAAGATGAATTTAAAACAAAACATCCAGTGAGTGCTCAATCATTGGTTCACGTCATTGACTTATTTGTTCATGAAGTCATTCATCAGCTTAATTAAGCTCTCTTAGTATCATCTTTGCTAGTGGTTGCTGAAAGTGTTCATTCATTCATTACACAAGGATGTACCAAGTGGTGGTGAACAAGATGCTGCACAAGAAACAGTCTCCACCCTCACGTGCTTATTGTCTAGCAGATCACTTTAGGCAGGAACTTAATTAAACAATAATTATAGCAGATGTCATGAAGGAGAGGCCCAGGGAATTATGGGAGACAACCTGTCTGTGTGGGTAAGTGAAGGCAGTCTGTGGAATTGATATTTGAAGGGATTTTCCCTCTAAGTGTTATCCTAATGCTGTTTGTGCCTCTTTGGCTTCTACAATGAAATGTGAACTCCCTAGGAAGCATCATTTTTGCTCACTTCCCATATGCTCAGAGCTTGTATCAGAACTGCTTCTCCACCCACCTCTTGTCTCCACTTCAGTGTGGCCCCACTTCTCCTGGAGGTACGAGCTCGGGAGTGATGTGTGCAGGTCTCACACATGGAGCTGAGAGTGCAACATCCTCACACCCGTGGTCTCGAGAAACATATGGGGGATGCATTAGTTTGCTAGGGCTGCCATAACCTGTACCACAGACTGGAGGCTTCAACAACACACATTTTTTCCACAGTTCCAGAGGCTGGAAGTCTAAGATCAAGGTGTCCACAGTTTGGGTTTCCCTCTGAGGCCTCTCTCCTTGGCCTGTAGATGGCCGCCTTCTTGCTCTGTCCTCACATGGTCTTACCTCTGTGCACACACATCCTGGTGTACCTTTGGGTCCCAATTTCCTTTTCTTATAAGGACACCAGTCAGATGGGAATAGGACCCACCCTGATGGCTTCATTTTAACTAACTCACACGTTTAAAGGACTTCTCTCCAAATGCGGTTCATTCTGAGGCACTGGAGGTTAGGTCTTCACATATGAATTTTGTATCAACGCAGTTCAGCCCTCATGGGGCAACTCGCCCCTAGGCCAAGCAGGAATTCTCATCAGGCAGCTGGGCTCTCAATGCTGGCTGCGCTCAGGGTCTCACNACATAAGACAGAAGGAGCCTGGTTTTTGACTATTGACTGAAACCAGTGGCATAATATGAGGTATCTGAATTTGTGGGGACTAGTATTTTTTCATAGCAACTGACTTTATTATGGGCGTCCATGGTGTCTCAGATGGTAAAGAATCTGTCTGCAATGCAGGAGATCCTGGTTCAATCCCTGGGTCAAGAAGATCCCCTGGAGTAGGAAATGGGAACTCACTCCAGTACTCTTGCCTGGAAAATCCCGTGGACAGAGGAGCCTGGTGAGCATGGGGTCGCAAAGAGTCGGACACGACTGAGCAACTAACACACATACACGTCTGATCAGTGGTGAGACGGACCACTGGGGGAGCTCCGGTGTGGAGCAGAGGGGGCCCTCTATTTCCCTCATGACTGCACCGGCCTGATGCAGGTAACACCTTACACCTGTGTGGTGTTCCGATCCATCCAGTGCTTTCCCCATTTCAATCATCCGGGGATCTTGTTATACAGCAGATTCTAGGGAAGCCCCTGGTGGTCCCTAGGGACTCAGTCGGGCCTTGGCACTCTCACTGCAGGGCCCCAGGTTCTATCCTTGTTTGGAAAACTAAGATCCCACATGCCTTGCAGTGGGGCAAAAAAAAAAAAAATCAGATTCTAATCTGTGAGTTCAGGGATGAGGCCCAAGAGCCTGCATTTCTATCTAGTACTGTGGGTCTGAGGACTACACCCTGAGCAGTATGGTTTTATGGCTCCTCCATATTTTAAAACATTTTTATCTTCGTAACAACAGTATTATACTGTTAACATATTTCTCAAAACACATTAACATTTTTTTCCTCATTCAAATCTCTTAACATTATTGCTATAAGACAATTGGTACAAGTTTTATAATCTCCGTTTGACAGATGGAAACTTAGGTACACACAGGTTCAGTGATTTGTCTGATGTCTCATTGCAAGTTACTGGCAGAATTGAGCACATTGTGTTTTCTTTGGCCCAGTGGTCCTCAGACTTCAGCAAAGATCAGAACCAACTGGAGGGCGTGTTAAAACACAAATCGTGAGCCTGACCCAGAGTTTCAGATTCATTACCTCTGGAATGGGCTCTAAGAATTTGCATTTCTAGCAAGTTTCCCTTTATGGTGATGTTGAATAACTGTCTCCATGATATTGTGATTTATA